ACATTGAAAAGTTATTACAAAGTTGTCTGAATTGTATATTATTACAAGCTCAACACTTTTTGTTTTTCTTTTCACACGTTGATCAACAACAGCTTTTGTAGTAATGTGTATTTTGTACAATAACATACAAAGATTTTAGTAAGAAGATGGAAACTATAAAGGAACAAGAGTACTTTTATAACGTGAACAATACTTGTTATAATCATTGTCTTTCAAGATCTATTACACGATCTTGGTCAACGCGAGAATGATCGTTCCTGTCCGAAGATCTTTCCCTTGTCATAATCCTCCGAAACGAATCTAACCGCGAAACCGATGACACGCCACTCTTGTAATCCGACGAAGATGCACCGTCCCCAACTGGCCCTTCTCTTGGCTCAGGCTCAAGCCTATGACTCGGCTCGACTTCAGTTCTACAAATGGGACAACTAGAGCTCGTGGTGAGCCATGTGTCAACGCATGTCACGTGAAACACGTGCTTGCAGTTTGGTAACATCCTTCCCGTATCTTTCTCCTCCAACATGGTTAGACACACTGCACATTCCGTAGGCGAGACGTCATCACCGTTGACTCCAACCACGAACGTAGGGAGAGAAGCAATTGCAACTATATCGAGCCCACGTTTGAGCGGTTGAGTAACGACGGTGAAAGAATGGCCTTGGACGGTGGATCTACGGCGGCGGAGAACGAACCTTGTGTATAGATGATGAGCGAAGACGGTGAGGATGATAATAGAGAAAGCAACGATGGTGATGAGTAGAATCTTGCTACTGCTATCGTAAGAAGCCGCGCTTGGCAAGAACCAACGGTCGGGATTGGGATTGATTAAGTGATCATTATATCTGTTGTCAGAGCTCATGATGTACCCTTGTTTGGTTCAATGAATACGAAAGAAATGTAACAACAACAGAAGGTGGGGTAGCTAATATGTTAATAACAAGTAAGGGGGAGATTCAATAGATCTTACTTGTGTAATTAAATTATATTTAAGAAAACGTTTTGATGATTTTGTCACCTTCTTATTATATCTTTAATCTTAGAATATGATTTGGTGGGTGACGGAAATAGGCACTTCGCAGATAATATCAGTAATCCAAGGGCAGTTGTTGACTTTACTCGGATTTCTTTAATTTAAACGTACATTTAAGTCTATGAAATTTAGTTAGGATTCCAAATTGATACATAACACGTCTACAGTATATGACGACTGGATGTAAACTAGAGCATATTCAAGAATATACGACAATTTACAAAGTTATAATTTGAGGTCTGAAGTGAGGTTCCGTATGGTTTAACTTCAAGAAGAGTCTTCGAAGTAGACAAATATGTTAAGTTATTACAATTGGTGAATTTATATTTAATTCAACTCTCTACTCTTTTTTAATTACTCAAAAAAAAAAGCTCTCTACTCTTTTTTTTCATTTCATAAGTTAATTTTTTGTTGGTCGAATCATAAGTAACTTCTTCTTATCATACTATATTATTGTTCTGATATAATTACGTAAAATCCATTGAAGATAATTGTATCTTCAAGCTGTTTTAGAACAAAACCTATAAAGCCTAGTAAACTATTTCCATACAATTACGTAAAAGACCATTGAAGTAATATTTGTACTCCTCCAGGGAAAAGTTACGGCTTATGAGATACCAAATTCACCGGTCACGGATTCGGAAACTGCCCTAGTTTTTTTTTTGGTAAAAATGTAAAGATATTATTAATAGTCTTTCAAGATTTTTGACAGAAATATAAAAACAACAAGAAGCAGAACAAGGAAAAATAAAAATTCTAAACAACAACTCGAACTAGTCTAGACTAATACATGGACAGACACAACAGGCAGAACCCACAAGCCGGAAGCCTGAACTAATCCGTACAACTGCTTGCCGCAAGAAAAAAGAACCACAATTAAATCGAGAGTCAGAATCCGATAAATTTAATCTCTCCGATGATCTGCTCTTAAAGATTGGCTCGACCACAAACAACTCGAGGAAGACATCTTAAGGCCACAGCTTCCACATCAATAAAACCGACCATTTATTGGACGCAGAGCCCTGATGGAGCAACGCGACAAAGACCTGCACAGAAATTAGGTGAAAAATAGCCGCAACTCCCCCCTTAGCACTCCAGACTACCACAAACGATCCGGATGAACACACCCACAAGAAACACAATTGAGTATTGCTGTCCTAGTTGAGTATTGCTGCGATGCATTTACCTTCTAGGAGTAAAAACAAATTCTTGATCGTCATGAATCATGATGCAAGTTGGAGATTTGCAACACCAGAACGAAACTATTAAGAAGTAGTTTTTATTGTTTGAAGAATTTAGTGTTTAACCAAGAGCTCTTGGCCTAGTGGTAATGGAACTCCAGCTGGAGTGTTCGTCCTGGGTTTAAGTCGTTTTGGCCACCTTCCCGCCTATAATCGTATGTACTTAGATGGAAGGTCTCGTGGGGATTAGTCTGGGTTTACCGTCTGAAATTCCACATGGTTATAAAAAAAAAAATTTAAAAAAAAACTTAGTGTTTGGTTATGTAGTCCAATCTATTGAAGAAAAATATTTGCTAGGAATTCTAATTAACCACATCGAACTTGATACATGTAAAAGATTTTGACCATTTTTAAAAAATTTCATTGAAACTTTAAAAGTATTTATAGCAGTGAAGATTTTATCATGGAATGTATGATCCAACGGTTAATATATATATTTGATGGGTGCAATTAACGGTAGATTTCCATGCAAGTAAGATCTTACGCGCGTTATTCAGTTTCCTTTTTTTTTGTTTTCATAGTACTCTTAAAATTTCCATTTTTCCTTCAATCGGCGCCAGATATATAACACGAAAGCACTTCACATATTCTTCAACAAATTCCAAATCCATCTTCCAATTAGGGTTTTTTCGGTTACAGTGAAGTAAAAATATTGCCGTCAATGGAGTTTATGAAGTCCTTAGGAAAAGGCTCGTATGGTTCCGTTGATCTCATGAGATTAACAAAACCTAACGGCTCGGAACCATGTTACCATGCCGTGAAAACCTCCTACGCTCACGACTACGAAACTCTCCGCAAAGAGTTTCGGATACTTTCCAAACTTAGAAACTGCCCTAGAATCGTGCAAACCCTAGGGTCATCTCTATCGAGAGGTGTTAATGATTATGGAGTCAGGGTTTACAAGATGTCGATGGAGTATGCAGCTGGTGGAAGTTTAGCTTCTTTCATGGAAACAAGAACATTGTCTGACTCGATGATCAGAGACTTCACGCTTATGATTCTTCAAGGACTTGTGTCGGTTCATAGTCACGGTTATGTTCATTGTGATCTCAAACCGGAGAATCTACTTGTGTTTCCACGTCATGAGTACGAGGGAGATGGTGTTGGTGGTGGCGTGAAGTCCACGTATGAGTTGAAGATAACTGATTTTGGGATGTCTACAAAAGCTGGAGAGGAGTCAGAGTTTTGGGAGTTTGATTCTCCGTTCTTGGGAACGCCTCTTTACATGTCGCCGGAGTCTGTTCAAGACGGCGTCGCCGAGAGAGCGTTGGATTTGTGGTCGTTAGGTTGTATTGTTCTTGAGATGTACACCGGAGAGCCGGCATGGCCGTTTGCAGATTCAGAGGATCTTATGCCTGAGTTGTTGAACGGGAACGCACCAGAGATTCCACAATCCCTTCCTTTTGACGCAAGGCAGTTTCTAGAGACGTGTTTGGCAAGGAAACCAGATGAGAGAGGAAGTGCTGAGGAGTTGTTGAAGCATCAGTTTCTTAGGAAAGTTTCTGATCAGAAGAAAGAGATGGTTACCGGTGCTGGAGGTAAGAGAGAATCGGTGGTTGTAGTGAAGTCTAAGGATACTACAAAGAAGCCACTAAGAGTGAAGATTATTCCACCAAAGCCGTTGCAATTTAAGAGAAGTGCTCATAGACCCTTGAGGTTGAAGATTATACCTCCAAAACCACCAGGATGCAGGCTCGTACCGGTTTAGTAGAGTGTGTCAGTATTAGTCTTTGAAAACTTGGTTGCTTGGTCGATGGTGTAGATCAATTTAATTAGATCATGTTGTAAGGGTTTAGCTTTGCCAAAAATGTAGGATACTAAATCATTGTCAAGTCTGATTGTTCTTTTTCTAATGTTTTCTGTTTAATATAAATTTTTAATTATGATGGTACATTCATGCGGTGTGTATTACAACAATTTCAAGTCCAGTGCTTACGCAGTTCATTTATTAACACTTGAAAAATTTTGCGTACCCAAAGGATATGAGTTATTTTGCTAGCCTGTGTCTAAGCAGTACTTCAAACAATGTGAAATCTCAAATATGTATTGAGTTTGATAGCTAAAACTAAACCATTACAACTTGTAGAGCCTCTTAATTGATTGGGCAATTGCTTCCCGCCAACACCAACAGATAAAAAAAGTCACTAACTAGTAACTAGTGTTTGCCTTTCAAACTTCCAATGAGCACAAAGACAGCAGCATTGTTTTGGGCACAGAAACAACCTCATTTGAGGTCTGTGAGTGAATCTTCAGCTTTCAATAGCTGTCTTATATGTTGTGTTAAGCAAACCATTAATTCTAGATTGTTACGAACATATGTAATGATAAAAAAAAAAACACTGCAGTCAGAGCAATGATCTCAAGCAACTAATCAAAACACTAGACAACAAAAACAACCACATCTGCACTAATCATTATGTCGCAAATGGCATCCTTTGCATTGTAACAACAAATAAGCAATGTAGCCATGCTTCAAATTCTTCTCTCTTAAATTCAAAATCTCTACAACTCTACAGGAAACAAAACACATTCTTAAAACAAAGCATAGTCATTTGCATTCAAGAACAAAATGTAACATACAATTCAAACAGCCTAAGAAAAGCAAAGACAAACTTAAAGCTTCACCAGAAAACTCCCATTTCAACATTACAAAGTCTCATTTCATCATTTCTTCTTCCCTTTACCAGCACCTTTGCTTTTCTTCGTAGGCAACACAATCTCTCCTTTCAAAACCGGAATCTCCATAATCTCCGACAACCCAGCGAACCTCTTACGGAACTTCTCAACTTGATCAGCATCAACCATCAAAGCAGACCTGTTCCCGAGGTAAAACGGATGGTTGCCAGACCAAACATCAACGACGTACTCTTTCTTAGTCCCTCCGGTCGTCATCACGAGCTCTCCGTTGCAGTAAACCTTGGCGTCCTCGTGAAACTCTGGGTGCAATTCCTTCTTCCTGCACGTTATTTGAACCACCGAAGTGTTGCTTCCCGCCGGTTTACTTCCTCGGTTCGCGTAAACCGATGCTGTCGCCTTAACCGGCTATTCGGAAGAAGAAAAAAGGTTTAGTGATTTTTTGGAGAAGAAGAGGAAAAATTTCGAGCTTTACCTTTTTGATAAGGAGAGAAGGAGGACATGCATTGATCTGGAGAAACGAGTTCGGAAGAGAAACCACCATTTATCTTTATTTTTTTTTTAATGGCGAAGAAGCATCTAAAACGATAGATAGAATGATGAAGCTTCGGTGAGTAATTTACGTTTGTAACCCTTAAGCCGAATCGATAGTCTGAGGGTAAGAAAGTCATTTACGTAGAAACAGAGCATCTATAAAAACAGAAGCTCTGCATATATTATCTTCAGAATATTGCAATAGCCATACATTCATAAGTAACACATACTAGTTACACTTTTACTTGGTTTTCAATTAATCACTCAACTAAACCCCACACTTGTCGAAGAAGCTTGTATCTTTCATTTGTGGTTGCTGAATCAGTAACCTCGCTAGATTTGCCTACGATGGATGCAAGAGGAGAGTCCAGTTCATCAAGCTCCTCGTCGCTTGTGTACCCTCTTTTCTGTATCATAGACACATTCCTTGACATTCTCCCTGCAGCCTCTGCAACTTTCTCTGCTACATCCTTGGTCGATGGAGGCGTGTAAGAAACTGAGGAAGCTGCATAAGGGAAGCTTTCTTCTGATAGCTTCCCATCACCATTACTCTGAAAACATAACAGAAAATAGATGTTCCAAATTTACTTTACTGATTATGAGAAGAAAGAGAATCATAACTTTGAATCATTTGAATACCTCAGCAGAGTTGAGCTCTTCTAGGACAGCTCCTGGTACATGATCTGGACAGAACTCATCAGGAGTAAAGTTGCAGAGTATTCTTTTGATTACTGGTAAAGTGATTGACGGACATATCTGTTTATCAAAGGTTAAAAACTCGATGAAGCTTGTGAATGCTATAGGCTTTAACCAAGTACAAAAGAATAACTAAGATTATATTATAACACAAACCTCTTCTCTGATGGAACTTTCCATAAGCATGTCTTTTGGTAGCATAAGAAGATCACTAAGTTCATTTAACAATACAAAGGCTTTACTACTATCACTGCCTTCACTTTCTACATGATCATCATCTTCGCTGTTCATTCCGAACATTTCAGTGAGGCATCTAGACCAGTTACCAATCTGCAATATGAAATATTTGTGTGCCATTGGATTAGTCAAGCATTATTCACTCTCTAAAGGCTATGGCAAAACTGAAACTCTGTTTTGTATTGGTTACCGCGTTTTTGAGTTGTGCTCCTGAACCAAAGCTTAAGTCTCCAGCATGGATAGGCAGAACTCTGGAATCAAGAATAGGGTCAGAGATAGGATCAGTTGGAATCTGGTGTTCTGACTCACGCAGAATAGCATTGAACATTGCTACATCGAATCTACCAATACACTTCTCCATCACCTGTTTAAAGACAATAAAGAACATGACGTCTTGTCAAAGAACATAAACAAATAGAAGTATCTTATTACCATTCTAGCCAAAACAGGTAAGCAACCACATTCGTTCTCCGCGCCTCTCACAGGACAAAGCCGTTGCAGAGCTTCTCTGAAAGCATTGTTCCATAGGCTAATAGAAAAGTTTCCTTGCTTCTCAGATGAGTTGCTTTCAGGGGATTGCATATGAGGAGTAAAGACCTTAAAGATGTGAGAAAAAAAGTGAGATGCCTCATAGAAAAAACTTAGAAGAAGCTCATCTTTTAATACCTGCCACCAAACAGACTCAACGAGTCGAGAAAAGATCCAGTGTTCGATTGTTTCAAGTGAAGTAGTAAATGTTTCAGTTTCTTGCCAATCCTCCAAAAGCTGTTGTAGACCTTTCTTACTCCCATTTGATCCAGTGGTCTCTGTGATGTGAGACTTACCAAACGCTTGTGAAATGATCTCCCTTAGAGATATGATGTTTGATAACCAGAAGGTCAACCTAACAAGAAAAATTTCGTTTAGAGAGAATCAAGATCCTGATAGTGTTCACTCACATGTTAAGTAGTAGTCTTTGTTTACCTTGAAACATCATTCCCACAAGATCTGGCAACCAAAACAAGACCAGAAACAGAGTTTCTAGCGATCCTAGTACGCTTTTCTCGAGTATAATGCTTACATGCATGGATGTAGATTCTAGAAAGACGCCTTGCAGGCGTGTGAAGCTTGTGTGCAGAGCTAGAATGATCCGGAACAATAGAGTAAAGAGAAATCTCGAGTGCTGCAACTTCTCTAAGCTCCTCTTCAAGTCTCTCGATTCTTGCCTCCAGATGATCAATCTCCTCTTTGGAAGATACATCTTCTAAGTGTTCACCATTATTCTCTGTTACATCAGGGGACTCGTTCTCGCTTCCAGCACTAAGACCACCATTCGAAGCATCTTCCCAGACATCTTTAACTTCCTGTTCATCATCATCTTTCTCCAAACCACAAACGGATCCATTAACACTGTCCTCTTTCTCCTTTCTCTCCGTTACATCATCATCCAAGTAACGAACATCCACTGTCTCGTAAGCCTCAGATGGATCTGAGTGTGTGGTTGAATCAGTTGCCACTGTAGAGAGATTGTTCGAATCTTCCTCAGCGTTTAAGTCATTGTGTTTCTCTTGGTCTGACAGTCTTTTCTGGCTATTCTTCTTCTGCAGCTTCTGATCTTTTCTTCCGTTCTTAGTAGATCGCTTTGACTGGACAGTGTTGGTTGTTCTCCCCTTCATCATGAAGCTCTTCGTATAAAGCCAAAACAATAGTTACTTTCAACTTCCAAGTAAGGCAACGGTTCAAGAAGATCTGTTTTACTCTACAGAGAAGAAAAAAAGAAAAAAAAGTCTTAAAAAGTGATGATCAAATTAATTAAAAACACAGCTGAATGTATTTCATGTTCTTGAAAATGACAGCACATACTGGAGGAAGAAAAGAAAATAATCAGATTTGCTATGTTTTGTCTTAAGTGTACAGTAGCATTTGAGGTCTCTTTCAGAAGTATCACCAGTAACAGAGCATGAAACTTGAGAGTTCAACAACTAAGTAAAGATTGAGGGCAAAAGAAAAGAAGGCTTACCAGTGAAGAAACAGAGCAAAGTGTGTGTTTTACATTCAAGTCATGACTCTCTTCAAGACGTGTTACTTTGATCTACTACTCAAGAGTGAAGTCTACTCTCAGATTTACGTCACTGAGATTTGCTGTCTTTACCTGTACCCAATAATAATGCTACTTTCTCTCTCACATACACTATGGGAGATACGAGTGCGGGAAGTTATGGTTTCTTTCATTAAATAAATAAAAACGTTGATCGTGTGCGATACGGACAGTGATCATTGTCGGGAAACCATGGAAGGTTGTGTCGGTGGCTCGACTGTTCACCGGAAATAGCCGGTCACATTACCCGAAATAGTGGCTATTCTTTTTAAATGACCAAAGAAAGAGTCACTTTCCGCTTTCGTCCAAAACGTATCTCACTGACTCCACCGACACCGACATCAAATTATAGATACTACAACTGTTCATATTTTTCATGAATGGGTGCAATTTACAAAAGAACATCTGCATGTACCGAGGAAAATGGATAAGAGAACAGAGGTTTTTCACATGGCTTTACACAGTCGGGAGAAAAACACACAACAGTAGCCCTCTGCGACCACAAACAGCAAACAACAATGAAGAATGCTTGCAAGAGTACTTGAGTTCGTTTAATCATTAACCAGAGGATGAGATGCATTAAACTACTCTACATTTAAAGAGGGTACCGACACTTTAAGGAAACTAATCACAAGATTTGGGAAACTACTTGAAATAGCAGTGTATTCAATAGAAGGTCCATCAACAAGAGAACCTGGGGAGATAGAGACGTAGCCTGTCATGTTTTCTAAACCTTATCTACCCAAAATTAAGTGATGTTCTTCTCCTCAATTCCAAACTCTGACTTATTCAAGTAATTAATAGATACTACCAGTTACCCCAAAAATGAAAACAACTATTTACAAAGATCAGAATCCAACATTCAAACGCTATACCTAGCTATATATTTGCAAAAGCTCCCACAACTCAATATACCTACACATCCTAATAAAATACTGTTAGTCATTACTGAATTGTTCAAACATCCAGTACTGATGCAATGAGCAGTAAAATCCACAACTGAAGATACTGAAATCTAGTGTTCTGAATCTAACTGACAAAGGCTAATGCCATGGGAACTCTACTCCTACCTGTTATTAATTACTCACTGACGCAATGAGTACTAACCAACTAAAAAAAACCAAAAATCTAGTAATACTCAGCAGTAAGCACCCAACCCTGACGCAATGAGTACTAACCAATTAACAAAAACCAAAAATGAAGAAACTGAATTCTCGTGTATGTGCAGCCATGAGAACTCCAACAACATTAACGAGCATAACAAAGCTAAAGTTACCAAATCGAAAAACAACACCAATGAGCATGTTTTGAATCATGTAAAAGCCTAACAACCAATACCAAAACTGAAGAAAGTCAATGTGTACGCTGCACAAAGGTATAACCATATACACCACATATCGAAAACGAACGAGCCTGCTTAAAACATACCACGTCTACAAAACAGAGAAACACTTCAACTCCTAGTTATTACACCTATACTATCATCCCCTGACTAACAACAACAAAGAAAAGCAGATAGATTAATCTTCTGAACTTCATCAGCAACCAATACATAAAAGACAGAAACTTTCTTAATCAATAAGCAAAAAAAAAAAAACGAGTAAATCAAATTGTATCAAAAAGTGATCAACTTTGCGTCGAAAACAGTTAAAAAGAACACTTATTTCATCATTATCGACAATAACAAAAGATAACTTCTTCAGAAAGCCCTAACTCTCCAAATCTTCGTGATCGTCACAACACTGACAAAACAAAACAAAACCTCTTCAATCAGAAGAATCCCCAACGGACGCGAGCCTCTCGATCTCGAGCCGTTCCAGAGCCTTCTGATGAGCCCAAGTCTCGATCGAAAGATCAGGCTTCGCATTGAGCCCCACGCCGAGGATGACGATCGTGAGGAAGCTCGTGATGTAGCAAGGAAGCTCCCAATCTTCCCATTTGCGAGATTGTCCCGGCGGAGGAGGAGGACGGTTCATGAAGTAGCCTTTGGGCTTTTCCTCGTGACCTGGTGTGGCCCAGCGACTCGGCCCGGCGGATGTGGATCCGGACCTGGAGAAGATCCGGTTACGTAGCGTCTTCGCTGCGACGGTCAATGACTGCGTCGACGACGGCATCGCTTTGGGTTTGGGATGTGAATCTATAGATTGGTGGAAGTGTTCAGATATATACCAACATAACCTACAAATGGTTTACTTCACTTCAAACCGATAAATCTGGTTTGGTTTATCTGTATCGGTGGTTTAATTAGAAATTTACCAAGCTCGGTTAATTGTTTGATTTTGATTTTTTGGTTTAATAGATTTAGAAACCAAATTGATATCTCTAATCTATGTTCGGTATCTAACAGTTATAAATTCATAGTTTCGCAAAAAAGGTTTATTGATTCATTATTTTGTCAATTCTCGATTTTACGGTTTGGTTTATTTGTATCGGTGGTTTGATTAGGAATTTACCCAGCTCGGTTTATTTTTTTATTTTGATTTAACAGTTTCAATTGATAATTTTTTTTTTGAAAACGTTGACAATTCTTTTTTATGTTCAGTAATTATCTAACAATTAATCAATTGTAGCTGAAAGCTTTTATTAGAAAAAGGATTATTGATTCATCATTAATATTCTTACTTTCTCTTACGGTTTGATTAGTGTGAAATCGGTACGGTTACTATTTCATTAAACCAAAATGAAGCGTTCACGCTAGTCGGTTAAGCATTATTATTGGATAATAATCGAACACGATGCCGTGTGTTTCAAAAGAAAAAAGTTCGGACACGAGGCCATATTGAACAGTAACAGTCATAAGAGTTGTTGAGACATTCTGAATTATACATATGCAAGGCCATGGTTAAGTTCTTCCTCATTTTCTACCTCTAAATTCAACAATCGTAACCTCAAGATATCTCTCTTTCTCTCTTATATATACACAGGCATTGTCAACTAGTTTGGAACTTATAGCTCCATTTTCACTTGATTTGGGTGCAAAGTAGCTGAACCCATCAAGAAACTGGCTTGATGATGATCCTCTTCTCTTCCCCATTCTGGCTGCTGGTAGCTATCGAGAGGCCACTGTTGCATCTGATGATAAGCCTCTCCGTTGAAGCTACCATCCATTAGAGAACAGTTCTGCAGAGAGAGAGAAAGATTTAGACCTCATCATTAACCAAAAACTTTAAACTTCTGTTAGAGATGATTGTATTATCAACATCCAAGACTTCATCCTAGTCACCTACTCAACATTATCTCAATAGACCAAGATTTTTAAATGGGTAGGACCTGGTTATTAAATGGTTTTACAAGCTGTAAAAGGAGGTCATTTAATAAGAAGTTATTTGCAGAGAAACAAAATCTGATTATTAGATTGGATAGGTGAAACTTGAAGCAACAAGAACTTAAAGAGTTAAGACTCAGACCAACAAAAATAATAATTGTGCAGAAGGATAACAAAAAAAAAAAGACAACAGAACAAGAGGTGGTCCGTGTTTCTGACCCATCTCTGTGTGATATTATTGGAGAGGACTAGTGAGTCCTTTCAAAAGGTTTTTGTTTCTGAGTCCTTGCGTTAACAATAGGCTCTGTGTCTAGTGTACTGGATGTGTATTTATTTCCCCACGTTGATCTACTTCTAAGCCTAGTCTATAATAGAGTCGATTAATGTTGTATTCAATAAATACACCAGAAGTTTCTCTTTTTGTGATACAGCTAAAAAGGTTACTCAAAGATAGATAGGTCCCTATGGTTTACTTAAACGAGAAACATGGTCAACGAGAGAATCTTAAATTTTGTAGAAGAAGAATCACATGGAACTTGAAGTCTTGTATGCAATTAGATACTTACTTGTGAAGCCAATATGCTGTCGAGGTTGAAGTCGATTCTGGGGTTTACTGCAGCAAGTCTCATAGATAGCATCTGAACGTATGAAGAACATAGGTTATGTTACATTGTCGCACTAATTTTACTTGCAGACTATTTTTAGCTTTATCGTTTTATTAAGTTAAAACAGAAACAAAGTCCCACCTCTACTTGATTCTGTAAAGTCTGCACATGGTTAATGATTTCATCCAGCACCAATGCAGTGCCCTGAATCTGCAGGTCAAAGCTCATTTTCTGTTAAGTCAGAACATAAAAATGACTCATAGCCCTAACTAGCATGTAACATTTGCCATAAAGGCTAACCAGAACAACGCCTCTAGTTCATACACAAACAGTCAAATCCCAAAACCTCACAAAATTTACAAACTCTTTTAAAGAGTTGTCACTTATCATCATCTCCCTCCACCAATAATGGCTGCTAAACTCCAAGATTTATCTATATCGATTAGTTAGCTGTCTGCAGGAGTGTCACATCATGCTTCCAACAAATTAGGTATAGTGGGACTCGAAACAATATTAGTGAATTTACCACACTCCTCTCTCTCTACTCGATAGATACCAAACTTATTAGAGACAACACTACACTACTCACCCTCCTGCAACTTTTTCTACTTAATTTCAGAAGATGGACCCCAAAAACACACTCTGATCTCCATCTATCCACCAGAACTATGTCCCCTCTACCAAAAACCTCAAGGTCACAATCCAGCTAGCATTCACACATACTAAACCCATTATCTTCGTTAATAGAGTAAGCTTCAAGCTCAATGGATAAACTTTAAGATAGGGTATAAAAGTCTAATTATTGATTAAAGGTCTTGATAATCTAGGGACAAACCTTGTCACAGCCTGGGACTAGTTCCTGTAGCAGCTTCATTCGTGCGTTTATCTTCTCCCTTCTCGCCTATAATCAAAGAGTTAATCACAAGTTAGAGTAGTTTAATACGAAGATAATTGTGTATAGACTTACTCGCTCAGCTAAGCTATGGTTATTAGTAGCTTGACCACGACGAGCTCTAACGTGAACATACGGAAGGTTCTTCTCTGCTTCTTCTTCAGAGCTCTTTGTCTTCTTAATCGAGCTTTTGACCTAGAAGTTCAAAAGGATAAAAGGTATTAGTGACTTGTGTAACAAGCTAACGAGAAATTAAGAGATTTGATTTGATTATCTGAAAAAAATCACCTTTTTCCCACGTGTTTTCCTCTTGTTATGATTATGATTCTCCACCGTTGGATAAGAAACCAACCGCTGAGATGAATCGGTCTCATCAGGCTCTGACTTGACTCTCTCGCTGAAACTCGAAGGTACGGACTCGCCGGAGAAGTTCCCGTTTTGCTCTGCAGCGATCGCCGGCGGAAAATTCAATGAACCGTAGGGGTGGAGAGTGGGAGGAGAGATATCTCCAGTGATTCTGGGAACGGTGGCCGGAGAAGACGAAGTGAAAAGCTCCATGGCCTGAGTCGCCGGCATCTCAAGCAAGGCCGTGAAGGAACCGGTGTTCTCCGGCGGAAGCGTCACGAGTTGCTGAATTTCGTCGCTGAAGTTGAGCGATTCGAGTCCGGTCACCGCGTCTCGGTACGGCCCAGCGCCGGAGTTAACTCCGAACAGTTGGTTCAGATGGTTCATAAGAGGGAAATTCACGCGTAAACCGGAATTGACCGAGATTAATTTCAGTAATTAGAAACAGAACCGACCGATTTTATCCAACTCGCTTTGTTTAAACCGGTTAGAGCTTCAAAATCGTTCGGCTGAAATCTCTCTCATTTTTTTCTTGGAGAAAGTGTTTTTCTCCGTTAGAGTATGTCTCTGTGTGTTCTGAGAGTAAAAAAAAAGAGTTTACTTCAGAGCTATTTGGAGTGAAGAGAAAGCAATGTTCGCTTTGGAGTGCGTCTGTTAGTTAATAAAGCCAACAAAAATTTAGAGAGGGAAAACTTGAGGATGAGAGAGAGAAAGATGCTTTGGACCCCAGTGTTTATGAGTTGGGCCTTTTAAGGCCTGGTTTTGTAGTCCTTTTAAATTTAAAAATCAAATTGATTGTGAATGGAACCTTTGGGCATGGTGCTTATATAGTTTTGAAACAGTGGCTATGTGTCATAATTTAGATTTTTTGAAACCTCACCTATCTTCCAACGAGACCATATTTAAAGCAGCTACGATATGGAGCTATATTCATCCCACCAGTACAAAGAAAATTGCTGGAAAGTAATTGATATTACTAGAAAGACTATGACATAGAGAGATGACTGGAGTCCTATTTAGTTGCTTAGCATTTGTTGAAAGCATATGTATGTTTTCTAGGGAGCATACATAAGAAAATTTGGTTTGTTTCAGCTTAAAAAAAATATTCAGACATGACACTGTTTGTGTCTTCTTATCCTTTTTCTCTTTGCTTTCCGTAGTCCTATATACACAAACTTTGTTGTGCGTTATATCTTCATACACTTGCAGTTTGCTCTTTGCTCGTTTAAAATCTGTGTAAACCAACAGAAAACAAAAGTTTTAATCACAAACTGGTCCTTTAGTTTGCTTGTTTCACAATGATCAGTAGGTTACCTTATACTGTCTTTGTAAATTTTTGATGTAATCCACAGCTAAATCCAACATATCTGAAGTGTTGGTTTGCTATTTTACCAAAGAGATACCAGAAAAAAAAACATTAATACCAATTCAATGCAAGAGAACTCATTACAGTAAGTGTGAGGACTAGTGTACCTTGTCCATGTTAGGAACAAGGTCCTGTAGTTTCCTCATTCGTTCGCTTATCTTCGTTCTTCTTACCTGACAAGTGACAGTAGTATTTCTTTTATGTAACTATTAGAGTCTGTAGATTCAAAACTAGTTTTATCTAACAAGCATTGTTGTAGTTACCCGTTCAGCGATGCTTCGAGGATGTGTGGCGCAACCACGTTTGGCTCTAACTTTACAAGGAACAGAGTCTTGTAACTGCATATACTTATCCACTGAAACCATGTCTGAGGCTGTAGATGATGATGACTTCGGTAGACTCAAGTGATGCGACATTAACTGCATTTCTCCGTTCTGTTATAGAAATATCGAAAATCGTGGTTCAGTGATATGTAATGTCTAATACTCCCAAGAACCAAACTAAACCGGTTTTGGTAGCACTAAACCAGGTGGAGAACAGAGTAGTTGTTACCTGAGCTCCGTGAAACAAATTGCCGTCGTCCTCTGTTTCTCTTTTCAGAGAGGATAAGTTATCAATGAAGCTGGAGGGATCATTCCAATGACTATACTGAACACTCTCCAAGTCGATTTCAGGTATCTGAGAGAGCATTCCCAAAGGAGAAGGTGCCCTTGAAGAGAGACTGTTATGGCGTTTTAATCCCTTGGGATGAGAAGAACTCTCTTCGTCTTCTTCTACTTCACCAACGTAACTCCTCATCGAACCATAGCCTGCGATTGTAGAAACCATTAAAAAGGAGTTAACTTTGGGTCCAAAGTGTCAAACTTTATTGTTTCTTCTACTCCTAAAGTGAGAGATAGCAAAAACGGTACCGTTTTGATTAGAGAGGTTTGTGAACATCCCGGCCGGCGAGCTGCTTTGCCGGAGAAGACTTGATTCAACTGGTCTCGTGTGATGATTATTCATACCAAGATACTGATCCAAACCAATCGTGTTAATCAACCCCTTACTCTGTCTTGGGTAATGCGGCGGCAAACCCAGAAAGCTCGACGGCTCTGGCTGCGACGGCGGCGGAAGAGTGGTGGCGGCGTATGAAACAGAGGTGTTCATCAAGGAAGCAGGAGACTTAACGGAGTCGAATCCGTTCTTGTCGTCTACGAAAGCGGCGAGAACAGAGCTGGGCGCAGATCGAAAGCGAAGAAGACCCGACCCGGAAGAAGATATGTGGTTCGGGTCGTAAAGATGGTTATGAGTATTTGAATCCATGAAAGAACCCAACTTTTGCGACGAGCTTTGCTTTGCTTTCCCTGTCTCTCACCCGTCGCTATAATGCTCTGTTTTCGTAGCGTTTCAGTAAGAACAGAGTTGGGGACACATCACCTTCAGCGTCAAGTGTTTCTATGGATTTCCTATTGTAAAAGTTTGTTTGTTTTTCCCCTGTGATGGGTTTTTGTTGTGTCACTTTCTCGAGAGACAGCTTGAGATGTAAGCAGGGGATAAGAGCTTGTGGATGAAGGAAAGTAAAGGGTGAGAAGAAGAAACAGAGAGAAGGAAGAAGAACGGTGGGTGAACAGAGAAGAAGGGAGAGACGATGGTGAATAATTTAACGACTTTTTGCTTGTGAGTTTCTTCTGCGCCCAACTTTAATGGCTGAGGATAGCGGCGGATCCAAAAGCATAACTAGAAAAATTAAATGAAAATTTAAATGAAAAGAAAAGTAGAGAGGAAGACGTCGTTTTGAGCCGCCTGTGACGCTGAGTCATGGATAAATGCCTTTACATTTCTTTAAAAACTTTTTTTTGCGGATTTATGACAATATATATATCTTTGAATACTTTTTCTACATATACAAAAAAATATAAAATGTATTCATATGAGTGTGAAAATATTTACTTTTGATTCAAGAGTATAGGAAAAAAAACATTGTAAATACCAGCTGCTTGATCAAGTTTATCGAGATTTTAATTTATATATTGCTGGACCCGTGACAAACGATTTTCTGTTTCCCTACAAATATTCATGATAATTCGTATGATATATCATTATCATACTATTTATTGTATTTTACTTTGTCATCTACCAAATTTTATACAAACAAATATATGTATATAGCATTTACAAACTATTGTAAATAAAAAAAAACTTAACATTTTCGAATAGAGGGTTGAAAACAAAATAGTCCTTATCCAGGAACCCCAAACAAAAAAAACAATGTTCATAGACTTTTTTTGGTAACCAGGCTTAATAATCATAGACTTCAAAGTCAACAGTTGTGACAAATGACAACTCAAATTTTATTTTCGCGTTGAATAACATTTTTAAGATTGTCGTCTATTATTTTTGTCCCATCAGAGTATAAGGAAAAGAAGTTAGAAGATAGATCTTCACAAAACATCCTATAAATAGAAAGACAATTTTGTCGGAAGTACAGTTCATAAATAAGAGTCGAAAACCCGAAATGCAAGTAATAAAGCTTCTCGAATCCGATTTAGGGTTCACGGATAACCTACACGATCGTGATGAAAGAGACGTTGTTGCTTTTAACAACATAGGGAACGCAACTTGGCGTCTAACGAGATTAGTGGAGCACTATGATAATACAGTTCTGTCACTATACGTGTGAACGATGCACCGGATTGCGCCTTGTACCTTATTTAACTTTAAATAATTCACGAGCGCCGTCTTTCTAAAATTGAAATCTAAAGGGAGTGATCCGTTTCTCCTACCAAATTGCAGAATTGATTACTAGATAGTTGTTACGTTTTCACATTCGTAATTCTTGTTTAGTGAACCATACCATCGTTTATCATATTGTTTTGGCTGTATGTGTATTCTCTGTGGAGTTGGTATTTCGTTCTTTTTATATGGGGACTACGGTTTATGCGCCTACTATATATAGACATATAAATCGTTGAGTTGGAGTAGATGCACAGTTTTTAAATCTCGAGCTGCTTCTTAGTTAATCAGCAAGAAGACAAATGTGTATGCACATGCACATATGCACCTATATTTACACACTACTATTCAATCATAATATAACATGAAAAATCCCCCTAGTATATAATAATTGTATTGTACAAACTATCAGTCTATAACTACTTGAATATTTTTGATTTTACATTTCAATGCGTAGAAGCGAAGATCACATATATTTATGTGAATCTTTTGATTTTACATTCCAATGCGTAGAAGCGAAGATGACATATATTTATGTGGATCCTTTTTCTTGTTTTTTTGGTCAATTTAACTGTACGAGAAAAATTATACAGTCTTTTGGTTCGAAAGTTGGTCCTCATTTTCTGCAAAGAACATCAATAACCTTGACTCTTCGTTCATTGAAAAACTTAGCTACATCAAATTCCAACGGATACGAGAAAACAACAACATTATAAAAGAAAATGGTAAGCAAAAAGGAGAAACTACAAAAGCAAAGCTCGTCTGTGGATGTGAACATGGACACGTGAGGGACCCCATTAGCTTTCTCTATGTTGTATAGATATTTTAATTTTATTTCTATGCAGTTTTGTATTTGATTTTAATAATAATAAAACGATTCTCCGTCAATTCATTTTAAATATTTATGTCTGAATAATATATTAAATATGATAGAAGTGGGGAATCGTGGTCCAGCTTTGGCTTTTATAATGTCAACAACTTAAAAAAGGGTGCCTCTCTATTTTATTTTCTTTAATAGGAACTTCTATATTAAGCAAGTGTTTCTCTCTTTTTAAATTCAACTTTCTCGAGTGGGCTGCTATATTTGGAAGTAATCAATCGTGTTTGGGGCGAGATATGTTTTGCCATGAAGATCCCTCCCTGTTTTATTTTGTGTTCTCGTTTCTTATAATAAAATAAAAAGTAAAACCTACCTTTTTTGTGTGAATTTGAACAAAGGAGAGGGGACCAACGGTGGGATGCGATCATTTTTTTTTTTTTTGATAAGTATGTGAATTTCATTGAAAATGAAGCTGGTTGTACATAAACAAAGAGTCAAGCGGTGAAGCTTTTTGTTGCCAAAAAAGAAATAAAAAACAACAAAAAGACTTATAAGTTGGAGACATAAAGAGCAGCTCCCAACAATTAACTATGCGTGCCTTAACCAAAGGCGCATCAGGTTCCTGAAGTTCTTCGCACCTTTCCTTGCGAGAATTGTGTTTCGAATCAGTCTGTCAATGGCTTTGAAAATGGCTTGAGGAGTGGAAGACACCTGTGAGTGCAATCTTCTATTTCTTTCAGCCCACAGGTTGTAAATAGTAGCTTGGACTGCAAGGCATTTCAGAGTTGGTGGGATGCGATCATGCTTTATGATCTGACAAAAATAATATTCGAAATAGATCGACATTTCATTTTTGATAAATATGTATGTGAAACTCCATGCGCAGAGAGGCAATCAAGCACTTGAGTTTTTGATCATTCTTCTATTAACTATTTTTTTTCTTTATAAAGAGAAAGCTTGGTATGGATTAGCTCAGTCCCACTAAAAAGCATCAAACAATATTTTGTTCGATAATCGTTAATCTTTTCTCAAAATATTATATGCATCTAAAAAAACGAATCTCAGTTTCGACCAATGAAAGATATGTATAATAAATAAAACCACTTGGCTAAACATCTTGCCGGAGCTGAGACTGAGAGTCTTGTCGCATATGTGTGGTCTATATATCCTTTGCATTTTGGTGGATTGTGAGTGATCTGCAAGTTTGAGATAACCCTAAACGGGACGTGTGAGACCGAAGCCAAAACTGTGAGGAAGCAAAACTTGCTTTTTAGGTTGCCGTGTAGATACTTTCTCGAACTATATTCATGTATTTACATTCAAACCTCGAGCGGTCCCCTTGTGCTATACGTATCCTCTCAGCCCAAGAGAACTATTTTTGGTCGGAAATACAATTGCAAAGGATACAAAAGATTTAAAAAGTGTTTGTGCTTGAACTTTGATTGATATACATATAGATTACCAAGCTTTATATAATGCAACGGTTGTTGAGTTTTGGGCTTAGGCAAAAAATGTGTGATAAAAAAAATAAAAGTACATAAACTCAAATATTGTGGGGCTTTGTCACGCACATTTACGCCATAACTTTTTGCATACATAAATAATTGGGCCAAAGCCCGTTCAAATATTCATATCAGCTTCGGAAGGATAAAATAGTAGTTTCCCACAGAAACAACGAAATGCGTTAGAGGATGAAAATTTTGACGAAATGGAGTTATCCCGCTTCCGGTGAAAATTCGAAAAATTTCACACAGATTTGAACTCTATTGACACGTGCGAGTGCGAACTTGAAAAATTTTCATTTTCAATTATAAAACCCGCCCAAGATGATAGCCTAAAAGAATCGCCAGATCGTCTCTCCTCTCTCTCTCTCACACTCAGAAAAAAAAAAAGCTTTTCTCCCCCTTTATTCCTTTTGTCCCCTCGCTTTACCGTTCGCAAGGCGTTTTCGAGCTGTGTCACTGAGGAATCTAAATCGAAAAGAATATTCATAGGTAAAATCAATCAAATCTGTACGAAAGATCCTTCTCTGATATTTGAAATGATTCGTTTTACTTAGAGAGTTATTAGGTTCGTCGTTTAATCCTTTTCCCCTATTCGATTTTTGCAGCGATTAATAGCAATGCCAGAGGCAAGAGACAGAAGAGAGAGACCTATCGATTACCCCGCCGTGTTTCTCAACAGACGATCCAATGGGATCTTACTCGACGAGGCGGAATCACACCTCAATCCGGTTCAGAACTCTGGCTTAACCGGTCAAGGATCTACGATGGGGAGAGGTGGACTTATGAGAGGAAATCTAGGAGTTCGGAGAACAGGGAGAGGCTTGGGTGTTGCAAGACGTGGCAGGACTCGTGGTTCAGCTTCTGTGTTACCTTCTTGGTATCCAAGAACACCTCTTCGTGATGTATCTTCGGTTGTTAGGGTTAGTTGATTTTTTTTAAATTTAACAAGAGGCTTGCATAAGATCATGATTAACCCCGAGTTCTTAAGACGGTTTTCTTAACGGAAATTAAGAAACTATTTTTTAACTTTTAACTAAAAAAGCTAAGAACATTTTCTTAGCGTTTTTAGTTAAACAGTTTCTTAGTTTCCGCTAATAACCCTGACTTAAAAACCTCAGCTTAATCATGGTCTAATTATATCATTAATTTAATTTAACTATTTATCATTTTTTTTTATGTAGGCAATTGAGAGAAGGAGAGCACGTATGGGAGATGTTGAGACACCAACACCACAACAGCTTGGGGTTATTGATGATTTGCCATTGTTAGGTGTTCAGCTTGAGCACAACTACTCTATGGTTACTCCTTGTCCATCTGTTGGGTTTAAGCGTCCTTGGCCGCCTTCAACTGCTAAAGTGCATCAGATGCTGCTGAAAATCACGAGAGAGGATTCAGGGGAAGAAGAGGAAGAGGCGTTGACTCCACAGAAGAAGCTTTTAAACTCTATTGATAAAGTGGAGAAGGTTGTGATGGAAGAGATTCAGAAGATGAAGAGCACTCCTAGTGCTAAGAGAGCTGAAAGGGAGAAAAGGGTTCGGACTTTGATGTCCATGCGATGATGTCTGCACAATGAGTACATCATCATCATCATCTTCTGATGATAGTAACATCATCTTCTGGTGATGTCTTAATGAGCGTGTAGATTGGCATCATTCTCTGATGATGTTACTAGGAAGGAGTCGTCAATCATCTCTCTGATGATGTTATAGTAGGAAGATTCTATCATTTTTCTGATGATAAAACATAGTTAAAGAAAGATGAATCTCTTTTAGGATAGCTCACGGATCATTTTCTGAGAACCTTTTCTTTAGGCTTTGTGTTTTCTACATATGATGGATGGTCTTCTTGCTTTTAAACAGATTGTACAGAAGTATCAAACTTCGGTTTTTGTAATTGTCACAGTCTGGTAAATGTCAAGATCCTATAATGATGCGAAGTCAACTGTTGTTTAATGGGCCGGAAAGGCCCATTTGTAATTGGCTCTTAAATGAAAGTGTAGTGTAGTGGCATGTGACTGCACGCACTGTAACACTAACAGCTCTACTTTCTCAATGATACGAAGTCAACTGTTGTTTAATGGGCCAGAAAAGGCCCATTTGTGATTGGCTCTTCAGTGAGGGTGTAGGTTAGTGGAATGTAACTGCCCGCACTGTAACATTAACTAACTCTTCTTCCTCGATGACATTTTATCTTTTTGTTCAAAGATCTGCAACTCATCTCTCTCGAGTTTGAGAGCCATTATGACGGAAGAAGCTACCAACCAATCATCACCACCTGATCCAGACCCGATCCAAACTCCGAATCCGTTAATCCACCCGAGGCGAGCACCATTCGAACACGGCCTCCTCCCAATCCAGAATCTCATTCTCACCGACCCGATCCAAACCTTAGCTCCGATCAAACAGAAGCTAACATCTTCCGCGACGAACAACCGCGTCGGATCCTCTGCAATCTCCGAGGCACTCGTGATCTCCTCTGACCATGCGCGTCTCGTCCTCGAAACTCTCGCCTGCGTGCTACATTCCGAGACTGATCCTCTCGTGAGGGCTAAGACAGAGGAGGAAGTCGATTCGGTTGGAGCTGATGTGAGGGATCTGGTTTTGTTTCTGTACGTTCAGTCGTATAAGAAGTTGATGCCTAGGACGCATAAGGACTCTGCGGCTGTGGCTGATGTCTGGCCTTCGGCTTCTGCTTTCGATGGTTACTTGTCTTTATCGCCCATTCAGGTATGCTCTCTTACGTTTAAACTATAGTTTTGCAATGCAGTTTGGCTCGTATGAAACTTTAAGGACGTTAGAATTAAAGCAATGTTGAGGAATTTTATTGAGTCGAGTAGTTTTTGGCTATAACAATTTTTCATGTGGAGAAGAGATGCTCGTTGATGTATTTGCTTCTTTTTTTTTTTTTTTGACAGTATAGAGGATTTAAGTGTGAGTTTCTTGTCTCTTGCTCTTTGGTGTATGAAACACAAGGGATCACGTGTGTTAATTGTTACGGAGTTATGAAGCATGCTTTCGAAATAGTGTGTTTTGCTAGCCTTTTGCTTGGACACCTGTTCCTTTCAGAGTTTGGTCTTCTTTTTTTTTTTTTTTGACAAATAACAACTCTGGAGTAGTGTTAAGTTCACGGATTGAAGTAAAAAAAAACTGGTGCTTTGCTCTGTTTTGTGTGGTTTTGACTCTGTTTCTATTCATATTTCCTTATNTTTTTTTTTTTTTTTTTTTTGACAAATAACAACTCTGGAGTAGTGTTAAGTTCACGGATTGAAGTAAAAAAAAACTGGTGCTTTGCTCTGTTTTGTGTGGTTTTGACTCTGTTTCTATTCATATTTCCTTATTTTGGTTGGTCTTTCCATGTTTCCTTTTTGGTGGAAGCTTTGGGCTCAGTCTATAGTTTCTGAGCTTTGAATTATTTTACAGATAATTGTTCTTGTTACTGTTTCAATCATATGGGTCTACACAAGCTTGTTTCTGTTGAAATCTGAGTTGGATTTCATGTTCTTCATCTTGCAGCTTGTTCGTAGCAACAGCCGTCGGTTTATGCCATCACCAGCAGATGAAGAAGCACATCAGTTGTCGTATTTGCAAAAGCACATCGCAAATATGATTTCTCTCCTTGTAGATCCTGTTGAGGGAGAAGGAGATGAATCTTCGGTATGTGTAAACATTTTTTTTTTACTCATTCTGGAAGGAGCTACTGTTTCTATTAGATGGGTATAAAATTCTATGTTGGCATACAAATATTTATAGTTATTTCCTAATAACTTAACTGTTGTTATTTATTGTGATTACCCAAATCTCCTCGTTAGGTCCTGTCTTTGGAGAGTTTTGAGCACATTGGGTTTCTTCTTCATTTTGGTGATACTTCTTTGAGTCAAGCTACTCCTTTCTTTAACAACTCTAACCCTGACATGCCCGCCGTTTCCGTTCCTGCTTCCCAAGTGCATGATTGGCTTCTGAAAAACATAGCTTCCGCCTTGGAAAGCATTTCTGACAGAATTTCAGGGAAAGAAAATGGACCATCTAACGCTTCTGGTCAAGATGCTGCTAACGCAGATGCTTGTGATAAAGTTTCAACTGACGATAGAGGTCGTTGTATTATCGAGGGAGTCTCCAAGACTTCACTTTTCAAGCAGGCTTCCGATCTTAAGGGGAGATCTGTGAAGGTCCGTATGTAGAACTAATTTGCATTTTAATCGGCATTTCTTCACTTCAACTTCAAAATATATGCACTTCAACTTCATGTTCTTTTGTATTCTCCAGGTGGCAAATTGCCATGATTCTGTCATTTATCTTTTGGCGCCATTAAGATATGCAACTGTGTATGGTTGTTCGGATTCTACTATCGTTCTGGGAGCTGCTGGCAAGGTATGACTAATATACTCCTTGCTTTACTTTTTGTTAACGAGTTTCGGGTTAGAAGATGCAGTGAGACTAGTTTATTTTCTGTGCGTGTGCAGGCAGTAAGAGTTGAGCATTGTGAGAGAGTTCATGTGATTGCAGCTACGAAGCGAATCTGCATCGCCAATTGCCGAGAATGTGTATTCTATTTGGGAGTCAACCAGCGACCTATTATCGTCGGTGACAACCACAAACTACAGGTGAAGTACCTCTTTAAGATTAAGGGTTTAATTTCCAAGTTTGATATCAGTCTGCTTACGAAACTCTTCTTTCCGGCTCTGATATTCAGCTGAAATTAGTAACGAGACCACTGTTTTAAAAGCTTTAGTGAGGTTATATCTTTTCTGTGTAGAAAGCCTGTTAGACTAATGATCATTTTAATTGTTCATTGTCTTTGGAAACGTGAACATGCTATTGGACTCATTTATTTAGCGCAAAAATCTTCTGATATGTTGTCTATATAATTGATGGCATCAATTTGATGTTGATCTGTTCTAGGTGGCTCCGTATAATACGTTTTACTCACACTTGGAGGAACACATGACCGAGGTAGGTATTACGCCAACTATCAACAGATGGAATGAATCCTTGGCACTTGGAGCAGTTGATCCACATGACTCACTGTCACATCCTACTGGTGCCTCTGATAAACAAACTGAATCGGTTTCTTGTGTGGACCCTAACCAGTTCACTAACTTTTTGGTAAGGTTCCCCTTTGTGGTAATCTACTTTTCTTGTAATAACTAATGATGTTGGTTACCACCAAGATTGTGATCGCATTGTAACTTCCCACGTCAATGTCTCTGGTTCAGATCCCAAACTGGTTTGCTGGCGAGGTGCTTGGTTCCACGAAAGAGAATCCATTTCCATTACCAGCTGCGTATTTGGCAGTACAACAGACAGGCGTATGTTTTATGATTTTTGCAACAGAAGTTCTGTGTTTGTTTTTTTGTCTTCTATATCACTACAACATCTGATACCGAAACTGCCATATTTGTTTGACCAGCTTAAGAAGTTGGAAGAAACAAGACAATCCTTAAGAGAAACACCTCTTGAAGCAAACCGTAAACGAGAACTTACTACTGCCTTCCACATGCAGTTCAAAGACTGGCTTTACGGTAAATACATCCAATCCCCCAAATTCATTCACTCCGTTTGACTTATTTGATATTTACCCTGTTTTAATTTTGATTACAGCATCGGGAAACATCCGGCAACTTTACTGCTTGCAAGGTGATTAACGATCAATGGTGGTGATGGAAGATGTCTCAGGTCACTATAGAGTTCTTTTGATCATTTCCTCTTCAGAGATTGCTAGCTCGTATGGCATCAGAAGTTAACTGCACAGCAAGTTCTCTAACTCCTAAAGATCTCCCTTCTCTTTTTGTTTCTTTGATCATATTCGTTTGTCTTTTACTTCTTGGAAAACATAATGCAATCGTGTCTACACAGATAACAAGTTTGAGTACCTCCTTGAATTTCAAATATATTTTAAGCTTCTTTTGCATTTATTTCCTAAGCATCTACACATCCAGACTGAAAAATTGTGAAAATTTATCTGGATCAATCTTTGTTGTTGCTTTGTCTTTTGTCTTGGAGGAAGATGCTTCTCTACTTGATCCGTGAAGAACGTTATGAACAACAAAGCAGCTGCAAGTTCAACCGAGTCTTGTTAATAAACCAGAAGAGGAAACAAAACATCATTCTCTGTATGTTCTTCAACTCTAAGGTAACATTTTACTTGCAGATGAGAACTGTTCGTAAGACTGCTGAGATCTTGCCTTGAATAGTGATAAGCCATGCTTTGCCTGCATTCTGCAACTCCGTTTAACCTACCGAATCAAATGTCCCTAAAACCGCAACAACCAGAAAAATTCGGTTCATCATTCTTCCTCTAACCATATTATCCCCAAAAGAAATGATCCAAGCTATGTTTTCATAACCTGCTTCCTCCAATCTACTGCTGCTGCAGACCTTTTCAAGATCGACAAAGAAACTCAACATTCTCTTTAGACTACATTCCCTGATACATGTCTCTGTGAATGCAGAGTTTGTTCCATTAACTTTAGACCTTCGTGGCAAACAATCAATAGATTGCTGTCTTGGGGAAACTCGATTCTAACGGGATTTAAGGAACTTTGGATTCAGTTTCGTAAAGGGAAAACCAAAGAAGAGTCCTGAGAAGTTGTTATGCACTATTTAACTTGAGATTAACAGAAGCAAACGCATTTCAGATACTTGGAACTCGTAACGTTTGTTACATTCAACATTCAGGCCAACGATGTAAGTCACTCTCCATAGAAACAGGAGGAAACAAAAACAAAAGAGTTTAATGATTCATTTTCTCAGATACAAGTAAACAAAACAGAGATGAGAGAAAAGAGAGATGATCTCAAGAGAGCTTTTATTAACTTCAGTCACTAAAAATGAGATATCAAGCATCAGCTTTAGCTGTTTTCTCGACGGGAGTGTAAGGATAATACTCTCTGCCGTTGTCTACTCTCGTGGTCTGACCTCCAGAGTCAATCAAAGCAGAGGTAACAGCTAGAGTTGCACCTGCAGCTATAGCTGTTGGGATGCTCCTTGCTGTCATAAAAAAAAAAAGAGAAAAAGAAAACAAATTTCACCAAAACGAAAACAGGTAGCAATAGAGATTCTCATAAGAAGAATGCATGATCTAATCACTGAAAGCTATGTACTTTCAATCTTCATACACAATATCTTCAGCGTTTTGCTAGACATACTCCAATATCAACCAAAGTCTTGAAACTTATGATATATCATTGTTATACTTAACCAAATAACATTCACTCAAAGCTCCTATAGTCATGCACACATACACTACAAGCAAAGAAGAAGGAAGAGAAAGTTACCTCTATAGCCAAGCACAGAAGCACCAGCAACAAAACCACCAATAGCACCATTGAAAAAGTCTCTCTTGCCCCTATAACTCTGAACCACCTGTTCAACACCAATGTAAACTCCTCCAATAGCAGCAAAAGTGAGTCCATGAGTTCCCATCATCTTCAGCGTCCTGATGAGTCCAGGGAGAGCCACGTTTCTCTCCACTCTAGGAACGTNCCAAGCACAGAAGCACCAGCAACAAAACCACCAATAGCACCATTGAAAAAGTCTCTCTTGCCCCTATAACTCTGAACCACCTGTTCAACACCAATGTAAACTCCTCCAATAGCAGCAAAAGTGAGTCCATGAGTTCCCATCATCTTCAGCGTCCTGATGAGTCCAGGGAGAGCCACGTTTCTCTCCACTCTAGGAACGTCTTTCCACGTGGCTAAAATGGTTCCGTAGATGGTCCCGGCAGCGAAACCAGTGACACTTCCTTTGATTGTCTTCATCATTGGGCCATCCTCTTCTTCCAAATACCTCATCTCAGCTGGATCCATGATTCCTTCTCTACCAGAGGGTACAAGATCAAACAAAGAATCAAATAAAAATGTGAACTTTTTGATGATTAAAGACTTGGATTTGAAGAATTTTTCATCAAATTGAAGTTTTGGAGTTTTAACATATATCAATGAAAGGATTTGTTCAGATCAATTCAATGAAGAACAGAGGATTGATTGAGAAAGGTCTAACCTTTAGGATTCGAAGAGACGAGAGACGAGAGACGAGCGATTCAGTGGAGGAGCTCAACGAAAAATGCTTCGATCTTCTTCTTCTTCGGCGACGAGGAGACTGTAGAGGTAGAGCCGGCGAAAGCCCAGTTAGAGAGAGATTTGGAGCTTACATGGATTTAGTTTGGGTTATGTAAGTTCATTTATAAGCCCATTTTTAGGCCCATTAATGGCATTATCTTCCTCACTCTCCGGCGATAGCAGACAGAGATCAAAGATGTTGTTTCGAAGATGAGACTGTTTGGGCGATAGATATCCCGATTAGAAACTTGGACTTACGAGAAAATGAAGATATGGGCCAAATAAGCCCATTAGTAAGCCCATATGTCTATTGGAAGACTCAACTCTCAGTTAAAGTAGAGAACATATAAATGTAGGGTCATTAAGTGAAGAGGTAATGTTTAGCTCACACTGTTATTCACTAAGTTAAAAGTATATATCAATCATCACTATATGGAACATTTATCTGATATTTGATGAATCTGATCTCTTATGTTGGAGACCATGAAGACAAAAACAACAACAAGACAGAAAAATAAATAAGCAAAAGCCATTGTCTGGGTTATTAATAAGAAAATAACAGAAAAATAAAATAAAGATGGTGCAGAATCGTTTATGGTAACAAACAAGATGATTGTCTGATGCAAAGAGACTCAGAGAGACCAGTTGTTATGGTGTGAAGAAGAAGAGTCATAAGCCCTTGTGTTCTCACCTTCCATATACTGCCTCCTATTCTGATGATGATGATCAGATAACTCGAACTCACCCAAAGTCGTTCCACCACTTATCTCTGTCTCGGTGAATCGACCAAGATTCAAAACAGGAGACATTTCATTCGGACAGTTATTATCGTCGTCCTTGAACACCCAAGGTGGGTTCAGATACTGATGTTGGCTAGGTGCAGGTGGTGGCTGAGCCATTGTAACCGTCATAGGTCCAAAACCAGAAGATGTTCTCCATGTGTTGTTGTTGATGTTGTTGTCATGTTGCTGATGTGGGTTTGACAGAAGAGAGAGAGCACAGTTTGAGTCACTGCCAATTCCCTTATAGCTCTCTGGTTTAGTGTCCATAATCTCTGGAGATGAGAAGCTTATCCCTCCTCCTCCTCCACTTACTGATCCTTGACTAAACACATTCATTGGATTGATCTGCCATGACGGTGCTGACCGTCTCATCACTCTTGTATCCAACGTTCTTGCACTATTCCAACTCATATCTTGGGAACCAAGAAAGCTCCCATTCATTGTAGTTTCAGTATTTCCTGTCCCCATAACATTATAGATCTTAAGGTTTAGTTTAGGCACATGAATCAGTCTTTATTATGTTTTAAGCTAAAAGGTTTCTAACCGTAAAGCGAAGGAGTGATCCTCCCATAACGAGAAGACAACACAGAGAGAGACGAAGACTGTGGCTTCCTACGTCTCTCATTGTGACCAGCGAGTCTCCTACGGCAACTTCTTTTCTCTAGGTCAAATTCCGGAAGTTGATGAAACCTAATGATTAAAAGATCGAGTTAACTTCAAAGAAAAGCAACATATCTAACACATATCAAATGATCTCTCTAATCCTTAAAAAACAAAAACTTAGTTCAGTTTAATGCATGTATAAAAAGTCTAATAGGGTGTTTGATTCCGAATCTTAAGACCTAACACATTGTAACAAAGTTTTTTGAGTGTTCACGTCATTGATGCTATGGTACCAGTTTTGTCCCCCTCAATAATGATATGACCTAAAGAAGCAAACATAAGGGCAATGGGTTTTCTTTATTGTCCATTCATTTCATATCCCTTTGGATCTTTTTAGAAAAACAAAAATAAAAAGAGAAGCATATAGAAGTACACGTAAACATATTCACCAAAATAAGCGCAACGAGTACCAACAAAACAAACACAAGACCAAGTTACATAACTCTAAGCTGTAAAGTTTAAAAAAAAAAAGAGAACCCCTCCAAAGACGTTAAAAGCCAAAAAAAAGCATATGACACTGACAATCTACAAAGAAAGATAGCTAAAGCCTTTGGATTTGATTCACATGAAGCAGAGTCTTGGACAGACTCCAAAGGTTTTGAAACAATTATTAAACATATAGTTTTCTTAATCGCTTGGGAATCAAATGATACATACAAATTAACCACTAGTTTTTAGAGGTTATAGACGAATGTTTTATTTTGTTATGCCAAAAACCAGACTCTAGACTCCTTAATGGCAAAACATGTAAATAAACACTTGAAGTAAAGGGTAAGAATGGGGATAAAAAGAAAGAACCTGCTGCACTGTTGACAAAACCTTTGTTCGATACCAGAGACAACGACTTTGGGTGTTTTAGAGTGTATTCCACAAACTCTATGCCTCGAGTAATAACCCTTTGCATTCGTTAAATCCACTCCACAACCTTCCACTTGACACCTTGGTATCTGACCCGTTGGACCCGACCCGCTTCCACGTACCCTTCGGTTTGACCCGCCAGAGGAAGAAGACCCGGTTCCACCTCCAGCGTCCTCGAAGTAGATCCTCTGGCCAAACATGAGCCCTCCAGTGAAAGAGGATGACTCATTTGATGAACCACCCGACTCTGCCTGACCTGGACCAAGACCAGGACCCGAGTTGGAACTCATATCCATTATGGTTTCCTCTTACTCAGACAGAAAAAGAGTACTCACTCATTATTATCTCTCTTAAAACCTAACTGTCTCGGTTTAAAGAAAGGACGAAAGGAGAAGAAAGCAAATAAAAAATTGGCTTCCCTGATTTTGACTGTTGTTGGGTTTAGAGAAAGAAGTGAAAGAAACACAACAGAAGCAAAAAAAGAGACGAGAGTGGTAATAGACAAAGACAGTGAGATAGTTAGTAAAACGGTACGGACAAAACAAAATCTGTTTTCTGTTAATTAACTACGTACCACATGGCAAAAACGAGAGAAAGAAAGATAGAATGATGTAGTAGTTGATCTAATCTTGGAGTTGGAAGAGACTTGAGCAAAATGAACATTGGAGAGGTCTTTCATGTACACATCTTTGATTTAATTTAATTTTTTACTTTATACTGTTCATATTTTCAACCTTTTTGTAGATTTTTTTTCTTTCTCCTTTCAATTATTTGACAAGTTAACACATTTCTTTATTTTCTATGTCAAGAAAATAAATAATGCATGTTTTTTCGTTTGGTCCACCATTTGGCATTATGAGGTTGGCAACAATAAATGGAGATGATCTTTTGTGTTTCTCCATTGCANTTACTTTATACTGTTCATATTTTCAACCTTTTTGTAGATTTTTTTTCTTTCTCCTTTCAATTATTTGACAAGTTAACACATTTCTTTATTTTCTATGTCAAGAAAATAAATAATGCATGTTTTTTCGTTTGGTCCACCATTTGGCATTATGAGGTTGGCAACAATAAATGGAGATGATCTTTTGTGTTTCTCCATTGCAGAATCTAGCATAAATTTTACTTGGTATTGAATCGAGTTGAATCTAGCATAAATATTACTCAAAAGTATTGGTTTGTTAACCTAATTATGAGAAACTATTCGAACCAACCAAACTATATATGTATCCTTCTAACCCCGTTTATTCCCTTTTAGATTATAGTTACATGATACGTTTGTGACCACATATTTTTAGAAATAATATATATATATATATATATATTTAAGAAATAATATATTTTCGTTTTGGAATCGATCTAACACGTTAAATATGGGACAGGAACTTGCATGGTTGATGTACAACAATCTAATATTTGACGTCACGTAGTGAACGAAAGCATACATATGAACGTCAAACCTAGGTTACGGCCTTTAAGTACTGCTGCGTACTAGACAAAGCTCAACAATTTAGGTTCTATTTTTCAACACAGCACACAACAAGTACTCATTGCTTGCCCGCTTGGTCCATGCTTCTTTAGACCCATACTTTCTCCAGTTTTATGCATACTCTTCTTTTGAATAATGAGTGATATTAGTTAAACAAAAAAAAAGAATAATGAGTGATATCATTCTCTCACACGTTTCTCAAGTTTTGTTGGTCCGTCTACAGTATCTGGCTTACACAAATCGTTCTGACCAACAGCCGCTCGCATTTTAGAAGCGGTAATTAACAGGTAAAGCTACTATATGGTCCATGTATTCTTGTTGTGTGTTATAATGAGAGTTGGTCTAGTTCAGTGGTTCTCCTTAATGTTGGATATCCATTATTAAATGTGATGGTGATGGGTCATGTGTGATGTAAGTTTTTATGGGTCATAGGTGATATAAGTTCAAATGTAAAGATAAATATTTAGGAGGATCTATCTGAGTACAGGGAGCATCTAATCTTCAGACTCTCACAGAGCATCTAACTTTACAAATCTTATTACTGGTCTTTTTGTACTTACAAGTTACAACTTACAACAATAACTTTTTAGTCTTTGTTTATTTTTAAAATTTTTTGTTGTTGTCTGCTGCCCATTTACGGAGTCTTTGTTTATTATCCTTCACAGATTCTATACTCAGCATTGGAACCCAAAAGAAAGTGCCGAGGAGATCAGAGTTCTACAGAAAGAGGGGTTCTTTTACAAATATAATGATAACTGTAGTAGTTAAAGAGCAACAAATATGGTAAAAATAAATTATTAAAAGTGATTTTAAATGTTAAAATATTAAAGACTGAAATATGAGCAGTGCAGTTATTGGAACACAACAAAAGATGTGACACTTCAAGGGAACTAGCTGGCTGGTGTCGGCAGATGTGGAAGCAAGACTGCAAATAATTTAGTACTCTTTTTAATTGGTTAAACCTCCTTTCTCTTGTTTACAAGTAAAAATTATTATAACAAAAAAAATTGTTTAAATATGTATGGCTTTCGATTTGTTTGATTGATTTTTTAAATTAAAGCTTAACAAAAAATCAACATTGTTTTCCTTTTTTTCCCTTGAAATTTCTTTTGACAAATTTTTAGTCACAATATCCAAAGAAAGATCTTTTTTTTTATAATAAATAAAAAGTATGAGAAGATGAATTGGAGTCATATACATCCATCAGAATCTGTGTAAACTGTAATACTTTAGATTTTGTAGGTTTAGAGTTGATTTGTTCTTTTTGCTTAGCTTTATTTAGTGAAAGTGATTTTCATTTGATTGGCTGCATTGGTTAAACCCTGAAACTAAAGACCTCATCTCATAAGACTGATTTTACAGAGTTTGGCAGCACAACAACTAGGTTCTGGATATAGCTAGTACACATTAAGAAAGATATTACTAACGCCGTCATTATAGTCAAACTTAAATATAATACCTGCAGCATCTCAGATTTTTATCTATTTATTAAAACAAAGGTGGGTCAATTGGGTTCAATTAGATTAGGGCTTGAGTCTCCTTAGATCTAGATTGTGGTAAAAATTAGTATTGAAAATACAAGATGGGTTCATGAGGGTGCTTTCACACTTCCCAAAAAAAAAACATTATAATAATATCTCCTCCATGAACCGTGATGAACCTGTATCATTATTATTCCGCGGACTCCACGACATGTGGTGACCCGCGATTGATCAATTTTTTTTTTTTTTTAAAAAGTCAAATGAAAAAAATTAAAATAATAAAAGTTGCGAACCCACATCCCCAGGTTCATTGATGTGAGTGTTTTTAGTTATTTTTTTGCATGTTTAAATGTTAATAATATGCTCACAATTAACAGTTTTTCCTTGATTGAGGCTTTTTCTGTGTAGTTACATAATATTATGCAGCTGTTTCCAAATTAAGAATATATATTATACATTATGTAAATTGTTTATTTAAAACGTGTAGACCCTCAAAGTCTAATGACACTTCTCTTATTTTCTCAGCTCTCATCCTTAATGGTTTTGCTTTTACAGTTTGCCTAACTTACACGTTGCAACTAGACATCTCTTAGAATGATTAGAACTTTTCAAGATGAGAGGATCTCACATATCTCTCAAAAATATAAAGAAGTTGCAGGACCAAGAGCAGATGATGAGAGACAAGAAAGAAAGACAATGCAAATTGATACACCAAAAGATAACCAAAGTTGTCAACTTAAAAAAGAAACTTGCAAAATAACCTAAAAGAAGAAGAAACCTCAAGTTAATGTCTCATCATGTTTCTAGAAAGTTTTTGACCAAGAAACTTTCTCAAACTCCATTACATTCCACAACAGCTTCAGCAGCTCGTCTAGGCTTGCTTTTCCTCCTGCTCCCGTTCTGTCTGAAACCAGTAGATGTCGTGGAACCATCTCTACTTGATTTCAAACCTAATCCATTCCCTTCTTCATTTACATCAGTATTGCTTCCATTAACCATCTTCCTCTTCCTCTCGTTTTCTTCTTTTTTACTTGTTACTGAACCATCCTCTTCTTCTTCCTCTATCTTCTCTATCAACTCCTCTTCTTCCTCCTCTTCGAAATCATCTTTCATAGGCTTATGTGGCCTTCCTCTTCTCCTATAAGCTGGAATCTTTTCATCTTCTTGACCACTTCCATGATCTTCCCTAGCAGATGTACTCTGCTTCTTCCCTTTCCCTCTACCTCTTCTCATTGTATACAAACCCCACGGAACAACACGACTCGATATAGAAACCTGAAAGCCAAGTCTTCATTCATGTCATTCTCCACATGCAGACTACCAACAAATCAATCAAGTTACATATATACTCCCTTTACACACACACACACACACTTTCAACAACCAATTATAAACATGAAAACAAGATTCTATCTAAAACATTGACCACACCTCTTTTAACATGTATCTCAAGATTCCATTTATACAGCTTCGATTCTATCACTGAGAGACGATTCATAAATAACAAAACGTTAGAGACTCACCTTATGTGTGGCTAAATAACAACCATCAGAATTTTTTGACACATGAATGAACTTTACTCAAGAAACCAAAAAAGAAATGGTATCTTTCTTTCCTCAGATACACACACTCAGCACTAGCAGCAGCATCATCATCCTATCAACCATTGGCCAATGGATGACTTCTTAAGTCCACGTTGTAGATGTGATTACGAGATTTTTTTCACATACTTCTTAATCACACGCGCTTAAATCGGTACGTGACTCTCATTTACACGCCCTGATACTGTTAGTAGTGGTTAACTGTCTCTGTGGATAAGAATGATGACAGCTCAAATAAGAATAAGGATATTTATTTAATGGGCTTAATATAAAGCCCATAAGGCTTTCTCATGCTAAATATTTGGGCCATATTTTTATGATCAACGTTACCCATTTCATCCTAATGCAAAAAGTCCAAAATCATACATCTATACTTAAAAAGTGCAAATTCGGTTATGTTTTTTTTTTATTCCGGTTATTGATAAAATGAAACTGCATCTAAATGCTAGAATTGATTTAGAATTCGATCATATAAATTTTATAAACTGATTTAACTGGAAAATATTATATTAGCTATCTTAACATTTAAGACCAAAAAAAATTGTATTGAACTACCCCAAACCCTTATGTACATGCATGATGATGCATCACCCGCGAACGCACGTTCATGAATGATTGGAGCTTGAAATATACGATGATGTAACATGATTTTTGAGAGTATTATGATTTTCTTTAACTAGTAACCAATATCTAACCTATTTTTATTTACCAAACAAGCTTCTCTCTTCTTTAGACAAGAAATGTCTAATTTGTTTACGTTATATAGGACATGCAAAGCAACACGTAAACAACAAGTTGCGTGTTACCTTAAGAAATATAATTAAACAGCTACATTATTGTAAACGTTTAACTCCACATTTGTATTACATATATAGTTTTATCTTTTATTCATAACTGTTCTCACTTTGTATTTATTCTTATAGCTAGTATGATGGCAAGCCAAGATCAAAACTTTAATATGTAAATAAATAAGACTAAAGAGTAATTAAATAATTGTGTTATGATTGTTTGTTATAATATATACCTACAGATTTCATAAAGATTAGTCTCAACTTTGCAAGCCTAATTGAAAATTAGACTTAACAGTTAAAACAAAGATGAATGATTAGAGAGGGAGCAGTTGCGAGTTTGTTTGAAATTTGAAACCAACACTTTATCGCGTTTGTGTCATCTCTAGATTCTCCTCAAGCGTACCTTCATTAACTTTCAAAACTTTCCCCTACTTCTTTTAAAAACATGCAATATTACCTCAAATAAGTAAATAATGGTGACATTAGAAATGCATGTTTGGTTAATAGTACTACTTGTTTCTTTTGATTATTCGAGTAGTATGGTTTACTAATACAAGATCAATGCTCTTGAAATTTTGTTTATTATAACCATTTCTTTATATATGTATCTTTTGATAAACAAGTTGTAATATATTTCTATGTTTTATTACTAATATTTTAAATATGAGTGTTTACACAATTATTTGTAATCTGCTGCTTAACCAATTGATAAAAAGTCCTAGGTCTGAAGGCACTTCTGCTATTTGACTACTTCCACACGAAGATGTATATACATTAGCCATTGAAGGAAACTATTATGTCATTGTATTATAAGTAAATAACTGGGGCTTGTAGGGATATAAACGTCAAGAGAGTCCTCTATAAATATTCAAGATTGTCGAGTAAATGCTCACAAAAAAAGAGTGTGAGAGAGTCTCATAACTCGTGGTTGAGTCATGCAGCTCAAAAGGTCACCATCATCTACTCCAACCTCCATGAAACTCAAAAACATGTTCCTAAACCTCATCACGCACTCTCTTTACCGCCTTTTACGGTCGCTCTCTAGAGCAAAATCGATTCTTATAGAGATATCTAAACACAACAAGAAGAGGTTATTCATGATGATGTTTTACCTAAAAACGTCATCTATTCACCAACGCAAGGTCTTCTTTGGCTCTTCCTCCACCCATGTTGTCCCTGTAACTAAGCCTTTCTCTATCTCTTTTCATGCTGAGGATGGTCATGAGTCTGAGTACTTCGAGTGGCTAGAAGAGGAGGAGGTTGATGAGACTTGTAATATAAATGATGATCATAATGTTGGGGATGTTGATATTGATCGTTTGGCTGATATGTTCATTGCGAGCTGCCATGAGAAGTTCTTGCTGGAGAAGGTTGAGTCTTATAGGAGATACCAAGAAATGTTGGAGAGGAGTTTGTGAGAATTGAGATATGAGAGGGACAACAAATAGTTTGTTTGTTTTGTTCTTATTTAATTCTTGTTTGATGGATGTCTTTGTTTTGGGTCAAAGTTTGATGGATGTCTTTAATCAATAAAATGGCGGTGAAATATTTACAAACGTTATTGAGAAGCTTTCTCACTAATACTTCAACTGCTTTGTCTTTAATACAAATCACTAAACACTTATTATGCAGTTGTTTGCTAGCTGATTTAGAGAGAGTGGATTAGAAAGAGTAATAGATGGCCACTGCAATTTCACATTCGGGGTGAAGCGATACAGATTAGTCCCTTGGGTCTAGAAAATCTTTGGGGAAACTGTGTATAATCAAAAATAAGGAAAAAAAGAGTAATAGATGGTTAGCCTGACACTCTCTAATTCTCAATTATGCATCAACATCATACCCCTAACTTGTTAGCAAAAAATTACTTTAGGACAATAACTAATCACCTCCTTGCACGTTTTTTTAAGCGTGTAGAAGGAGAAGAAGCTTCCTTCTTTTCACCTGCTTCTCTGATTAACTGACTGATAATTGACATAAGATAAAGTACATATGGGTCATTTTTTCCTCAAGATAAGAAAAATATATAATAGGACTAAAATACAAATATGAGCAGACAAGTACCACAATTACAAACGTGTATACGGTACATGTGTGTTTATGATGATCGAACCAGAACCACACATGATATGTTGTTGATCAAGTACACATTATATACCAGTTAAGAAAATATTAGTATGTGCCTTCTTTATAGAGAGAGTTCAAGAAGTTAAATCAAAACAGAGGTTCTCAACTTAGTAGTTGTTTCTTGAAAGAGAACACACATAAAGGAACATAAGAACAATGGCTAGTAACATCTAACTATATCATATTCAAAGAGTTTCTTCAATAATTGATGACGGTGTTTCCAACCTCGTTAAAACTTCAGGCACTCCTGAAGTATCTCTTACTATCTACAAAAGAAACCAAAAAAAAAAGATGATAAAACTTGGTTAGTGGTGACTAATTAGCCACTTTAACCAGCCTAATGAGCATGAGCTTTAAAACAAAGTTTATAATGGACGGACTTACAAGAACCTCCTCATCTAGATAAGATATCATGAAGAATCTTTCAAAAGATCCACCTAAAGAAGATAACACACTAGATGATTCACTGAACATGTCAAGAGGAAAAAGGTTACGTATATATATAAAGAACAAGTAAGTGGCTTACTCAGGGGAATCCTTAGACCACTGGATAAAGTATCTTTGATAAGATCAGGAAGCTGCTGCAACGTTGTGGTGGCTTGACCCAATGCGCCTTTAAGCTGTTCAGGAACTGCTTCTTCAATGACTGTTGGGGATTCAAACATACCTTCCACATATTCTTCTCTCAGTCTCAGAGGTCCCTCAACAGTCAACTTAGATGACAGAATGATCTTGCTTTCTATCTGCAAATTTTTTATAGCTACTTTGAGAAACCTAATTTACATAAACAAATATTAAAAAAAAAACATTTACCGAGTTCAGGAGTTTGATATTAGCAGTGGCCTTTGCGTTGGCATCTTTAATCAGTATCTCCATTCTTGAGAGGTTAGCCAACGTTGAAGGAAACCTCCTGAAAACAACACAAACAGATCAAAAGAAGTTTGAAGAAGAAACATTGTGGTGGTGAGCTTTAGGTAAGTACTGACTCGAATATAACCCGTGCAGCGAGTAAACCAGGGCTTCCAGAGCCAAACCACTCGAAGTTCCATCTACCTTCTAAACAAGGAGACCTGGAGAAAAGCTATAAGATCCAATTAAAAGAACACCATTTCCCTAAGACCATACAAAAGTTAAAAGAAGTGCAGCATACGTAGTTGGTCTAGGAGAAGGGTTAAGCCGCTCTAAACTAGTTATCCTCTCATTCACATCAATCCTTTGCATACTCGTCGTCTTCCCTGTAACCAAAGCCTCAAATCCTCCAGCATCCTTTAACTGTAAAACAAACACACAAAGCTGTTCAAGTAACTAAAGAAGACACAACTATGCTAAAACATGATGCCATCATCTAGTGTCTGAAACTAAAACTTCCAAGTGTTAATATTAAAGATCTAAACACATCAAAACGAAGTAGTTTACGGCGAGAAGCAGAGATTCTTTAGCAGAAAGCCTCTCCATATCTCTGGCGTAAACAGAAGGAGACCCTTGAACTGCTTCCTCCTGCACCATTGCTCTTAACACCAACCTTCTCCGACAAGAACCTCTCCTCCAACCTTTCACCATCGGGACAACGACGGAGACCTTCTTCGGCATTGAGTTTGAGAAGCTCAATCTAACCGTAGACGAACCGGGAATCGAACTCTGTAGCAACGCCATTGGAGAAGACATGAGCTCAATAAAAAAGAAAAAAACTAAAGATTGAGACTTTATGATGCGAATCAACCAAGGATATGAGAGTACTTGAGAGTCGTAGGTAGGAGTTTCTTTTAAACCGTTAGCTTGATTTCCCGGTTTAAACCGGTCAGTTTCCGGTTTAAAGGCGCTCCCTTTTTTACTCTTTCTCTCTGTGAAATGAAGACAGAGACTGTCTTCGTCGTTTAGTGTCCAAAGTTGAAAACTTTCTTCTCAATCCCGCCATGGAAATCGACTCCGAGATGACTCACGAACGGAAACAATCCGTTTACAGTTGCCTGGTTTGCAATCTCACTTACTCTGTTTCTTTCCTCTGTTTTTTTTACAAGTTTCCTCTGTTTTAATTGTGTGTTCTGAGTTTTTGTTTGTTTCTGAGTTCAATTGAAGCAGGATGAGAGGTTTGAGATACAAAAGGAGATGTACAGAGGGCAGCAATACAGTCAGATTTACTTTGCTCGTCTTCATCTCATGAGAACTCTTCTCTACTCTCTTGTCCCTACCTGGAAACCCCATTTGCCTGGTGATTGTGCTTTGCCTTGTTTAACTCAATAAAGGAGAGTCCTTTTCTCATTACAGATCTGGTGTGTTTTTTGTTTGCAGTTTGTAAGGTTTTAGGACTTGAAGAAGGAAAGGAATGTATAATTGTGGGAACCTTGTTCAAACACATGAAGCTTAAACCTTGTGTACTTGATGAATATGCTAAAGAGGTTCGTTTAGTTTACAGTTAATGTCTCTAGATTGTAAGTGAGCACTCAAATATCTGAAGAGTAGGTTGGAATATACAATGCAGAGGTCAGTTACTCCGCTTGTGAAACCTCATAACTTTATGCACTCTAATGATAATCTGATCCTTGAAGACGAGAGTGGGAGAGTTAAGCTTGGCGGTTCTCTTCTTTCACCTGCAGTATATGTGACAGGTGTGCACATGGATTGCTTCTCTCTTCTTTGCTCTGTTTGGTATGATCCGACACATGTTTGAGTTGCGGTTGTATAGGTATTGTTGTTGCATTGCACGGGAAGGAAACTAGTGCTGGTGAATTCTTTGTTGAAGATGTACTAGAAGCTGGTTTACCACCTCAGATAGAGCAGCCTTTGGATCTAAGTAAGCTTGTTCCTTTTGCTTATCATCATATCTTAAAGAAGCCTCTTATAATTCATCTTATCTTCTTCTGCAGAGGAAGATAAATACGTTTTGCTAGTCTCTGGCCTCTGCATTGGAAGCAGTTCGTCTAATCCTCTGCAGTTTCAGCTTCTTGTTGACCATATAACTGGGCATGTCGAAGATGATGAGGTTAGAAGACCTCTTAACTTTCAGGTTTTTACATTTTCTTTTGCTTTCTTTAGTTCTAATATATTGTTATATTGGTTTGAACAGGAACTAGGCCTTGCAGCACAGATAGTTCATGTGGTAATTGCTGGAAACTCTGTTGAATTTCCTCGTAAACTCTTATCTGGACAGGTGCCTATAACTTCCACTGCTGATATTTTTGTAAGATAGAGCTTCAGTTATCTGCCTTTGTTATGATCTTTATTGGTTGATTTTTCTGCAGAACATGGCCGCGAAAGATCAATCAAAACTGTATGAGCCCATCAAAGAGCTTGATATCATGTTGAACCAGGTCAGTTAAAACCAGATCCACCTGTTTCTTATTTAAATTCTATTGAACTGAAGAAGATTCAAAATTCTTGTTCTGTCTTTGTACTGTTTTTTAGATAGCTGCAGGAGTTTCAGTAGATATCATGCCAGGCATGAATGATCCAGCAAACTTCGCATTACCTCAGCAGGTTAGTAACTACATAACTAAACACTAAAAAGACTGAAACTAGTATCTACAAATCTGATCGAAATGCTTTTTTTTTTTACTTTTGTTCAGCCTCTGAACAGGTGTCTTTTCCCGGGATCAGCACCTTACAACACGTTCAGGTCATGTACAAATCCTCACTCCTTTGATGTCGATAATGTCAGGTATGGTTACTATACATAAAGAACACAAATCTCTTAACTGCAGTTCGTCGTCTGAGCTAAACACTCTTTTTGTAGATTTCTTGGAACATCTGGTCAGAACATAGATGACCTTGACAAGTACTCAGAGGCTGAGAGCAAGCTTGATTTTGTGGAAAGAACACTGAGGTGGAGACATCTTGCTCCTACTGCACCTAATACACTCGGTGAGAAATAATTCACCTTCCTCCTGCAAAATTTAACTTTCTCGAACTAAGCCCTTAAGGAAAAGAAAAAAGGAATAAAATGTTATTCTGTACAGGTTGTTATCCTTTCACGGATAGAGACCCTTTCTTGATTGAAACTTGTCCTCATGTTTACTTCGTTGGGAATCAAGACAAATATGACACCCGTTTGATAAAAGGTTAATATAAGAACATGATTGTTACCTCTTTTTTTTTGAGGTCAAACAATGCTCTCTAAGTGTGTTGGGTAATATTTCAAATGTTTGCAGGGTCAGAAGGTCAGCTGGTCCGGTTGATCTGCATTCCTAAATTCTCTGAGACCGGTGTTGCTGTTGCGGTAAGTTAATCAAACTTGAGCAGAGATGGTTACTCATATTAATTGCAGAAAGCTTATTATATAACTCAGAGTCAGCACCATCACATGGTTGTTGTTTCTTTTGGCAGGTGAACTTAAGGAATCTGGAATGTCATACTCGTAGCTTTAGCATTCAGTTATAAGTTAAATCACTAACACTGAAGTTGTTGTTGCTACTAGTCCAATATCTTAATCTCCAAGTTCTAATCAGATGTAGTAACGAGACTAAACACCTTTTTCAAATAGTTGGATGTTATTGGTGATATTGTCATTCGGATATCTTGGCTTTTTTTTGCATTATCTTTAAACTTTTGATTAGAGAAACTGGACACGAGTTCTTATGTTTTGGCATGAAAAGGACAAAAAGTTCCGACCAGATATCGTTGTCATTGGTAATGACGAACGTGAAAGACTGCAAAAAAACAAATCTTAAAATATATTAAGAGGAGTTACACAGAATTTCATGCAAAAAGGCCCCCTCTCTCTTCTTCTTCTTCTTTATTCTCTCAACGGCTATATTCACACTTCTTTATTAAAAAAACCGTTTCACATTTATATTCTCCATTATTCTACAACGGTCCATTTCTTCAATCACTTTGCTTTATAACCACAACTGTATTCACCTTCTTCCCTTTAATCCTCCTCATCTCTTTCTTCTCTATCTCTCTCAATGGATCTTGTTGTTGTTAACACAGAAGCTAACTCTACACAAACCCAGCACGTGAACAGGAAGTCCTCCGACGAGCTGCTCCGTAAGTTCGCCGATCCTGACGACGACGACAAGTCAACGAAGCGCCGTAGAAAAGCAGCTACTACGAACTCGAAAGAGAACGGTGGTGCTGACGTGGAAAGCAACACTAGTAGTAGTACTACAGGTTTGGTGGAGAGGAAACGGCTCTTGCTTGCTCCGGCGGCCAGTAAACGGCGGTCTCTGTTTCTCCGACAGATTGCTTCTGGAAAGTCACATCTCAAGAACAAGTCTCTAGTCAGAACCATCGGCAAGGTACGTTCGTTGAAAGACAGGTTTCTTAACGGAAACTCATGATTAATCCCAGTTCTTAAGACTGGGTTCTTAACGGAAACTAAGAAACAGTTTCTTAACTTCCGCTAAAAACTCCGCCTTAAGAACCCGTGTTAATCATGGTCATTAAAGCTTGAGTTCTTTGTTTCTTTTCTTCAAAATTTATAAACGTTTTTTTTTGCTGCTGCTTTTTGCAATTCAGACATGGCGTAAAACAATGGAAGGAGCTTCGAGAGTTTTCATCGAGAAGCATTATAACAGACACAGACGTCTCATCAACGATGTCGTTTAAAGCTTCTTCTGCAACTTTGAACTCTTTTTTTATTCTCTTTTTTATGTGTGTTGTAATTGTTTAAACGTGAATCTCCAACGTTTTCACTCGCTATATTACATTCGTTTGTACTATTATTCTTTTACATTTCAATAATATCTATGCTTTGATAGAACTTTTCAGTATCACTAAATTCATTTTATAAATTCAAGTTAAGAAGTTTTACATATAAGACATATGATTATCCCATATTCATTACGCTTTCATTTTTTGTTGAATTTATAACTTAAACTAACAACATGATTTGAACCAAAACCAATATAAGTATGTATTTTCGATTATTAACACTAGAGTTGCATACCAAGATTGAACAATTTTAAAGAGTAGTGTTAATTCTAAAAAATCCAGAATAATAATAAATCAGAATGACACATTATCATTCAGTGGTGAGAAAATGTAAAAGCTAAAATAAATCAGTGGTAAGTGTTGAGAATCGACTCCCGATTCTTTTGTACCAAAGGAATAACAGATACTTGGGCCAGAAGAAGATGTTGGGCTGGACTTATATTTGACTAAGGCCCATAACAACTCACAGTAAGATTACTTTGTCTATTCTATTTTCCAAGTGGTTTCACTCAATTCACGATGCGCTTAGCGTTGTTTGCCTCTTCCTGCTATCGTCTTCGGTTGAAGAAGAATCTGTCATCCACAGCTGGAACTTCTTCATCACAGAATCTTGATCTCTTCTCTCTTCTACACGAATCCCCAAATATAAACCATCTTCGCCATCTCCACGCTCATCTTCTCCGCACCTCCAATTACTCCAACGTAGTACTCAGCTCCAAGCTCGTTCTCGCTTACTCCAAGCTCAACCATCTCTTCCCTACTTCCCTTTCCGTCTTCTGGCACATGCCACATCGCAACATCTTCTCATGGAACATAATCATCGGCGAGTTCTCCAGATCATCACGCTTTGCCTCCATCTCAATCGATTTGTTTCTCCGTATGTGGCGTGAGTCCTGCGTTAGACCCGATGACTTCACGCTTCCTCTTCTCCTACGAGCTTGCTCTGCCTCGAGGTTCGGGGGTTTGGTTCATGTGCTGAGCTTGAAGTTAGGATACGGAGTGAGTTTGTTTCTTAGTTCGGCTTTAGTGGTTATGTATGTCGAAACCGGCGAAATCTCGTATGCACGTAAGTTGTTCGATGAAATGCCTGTTAGAGACTCTGTTCTTTACACGGCTATGTTTGGCGGGTATGTTCAGCGAGGAGAAGCTGTGTTGGGTTTGCCTCTGTTTAGAGAAATGATTCGTTATGGGTTCCCGCTTGACTCGGTGGTGATGGTGAGTTTAGTTATGGCTTGTGGACAACTTGGGATGTTGAAGCATGGGAAGAGTGTACATGGGTGGTGTATCCGGAGATGCTCCTGCTTGGGTTTGAATCTCGGCAATGCTGTTGTCGATATGTATGTAAAGTGTTCAAGGCTAGCCTATGCGCAGCGAGTTTTCGATAAGATGCCACGCCGAGATGTCATCTCTTGGAGCTCTCTTGTTTTGGGTTATGGATTGGACGGGGACGTTGCGATGTCGCTAAAGCTGTTTGAGGAGATGCTCCAACAAGGAGTCAAGCCCAATGCTGTCACTTTTCTTGGTGTCTTGTCAGCATGTGCACACGGCGGTCTTGTGGACAAGTCTTGGCTGTATTTCAGACATATGCATGAGTATAAGATAGTTCCTGAGTTGAAACACTATGCTAGCATGGCAGATTGTTTGGCTAGAGCAGGTCTTTTGGAGGAAGCTGAGAAGTTTATGGAAGAAATGCCCTTAAAACCCGATGAGGCTGTTATGTGTGCGGTGTTGAGTGGGTGTAAGGTGTATGGGAATGTACAAGTAGGGGAAAGAGTAGCGAGGAAGCTGATTCAACTCAAGCCGGGAAAAGCTGGCTACTATGTGACGTTGGCTGGTCTATATACAGCTGCAGGTCGGTTTGATGAAGCTGAGAGTTTGAGACAGTGGATGAAGGAGAAACAGATTTCTAAGGTTCCTGGATGTAGCTCAATATAAAAGCAGCTACTACGAACTCCAAAGAGAACGGTGGTGCTGACGTGGAAAGCAACACTAGTAGTAGTACTACAGGTTTGGTGGAGAGGAAACGNTTGGCTGGTCTATATACAGCTGCAGGTCGGTTTGATGAAGCTGAGAGTTTGAGACAGTGGATGAAGGAGAAACAGATTTCTAAGGTTCCTGGATGTAGCTCAATATAAAAGCAGCTACTACGAACTCCAAAGAGAACGGTGGTGCTGACGTGGAAAGCAACACTAGTAGTAGTACTACAGGTTTGGTGGAGAGGAAACGGCTCTTGCTTGCTCCGGCGGCGAGTAAACGGCGGTCTCTGTTTCTCCGACAGATTGCTTCATCGAGAAGGATTATAATAGACACAGACGTCTCATCAACGATGTCGTTTAAAGCATCTTCTGCAACTTTGAACTCTTTGACTCTTTTTTTTTTTTTTATGTGTTTGTAATTGTTTTTTTTTTGGTCAAAGTGCATACCAAGATTGAAGAGTTTTAAGAGTAGTGTTAATTGTAAAAAATCCAGAATAATAAATCAGAATGACACATTATCTATCATTCAGTGGTGAGAAAATGTAAAAAGTAAAATAAATCAGTGTGGTAAGATTACTGTCTATTCTAATTTTCAAGTGGTTTCACTCAATTCACGGGTGCAGTAACTTTATTCGTGAGGCTTAACAGTAAAAAGGGAAGATGCAACTTTTTCCTCCGCTTAAATATTTTTTTTAAAAAATTTTACCAGCAGTAAATAGTAAATGACAACCACGAGAATATGCCCTATTGAGCGAGTTCAACCGACTGAGTCAAGCCCGAGTCACATCATCGGCTTTTGGTTTTCTTCTTCCTTTGCATAAACTCCCCGAAAGACGCAACCTTTTTTGTTTTCTCTCCACGAATCTCACAGAGATGAACGCCGCCATTAGAGCTGCGATTCAAAGACCGCAGAGCTTAGCTTCTCACCTGAAAACCGCGCTTTTTCATTCAACCCCAGTCTTGGAACGCAAACGCCGCACTTCCTGGGAATCGGTCAGTCTCTCTCTTCCCTCAAAGTTAGATTCTTTTTGTTAAAGTTTCATGCTTTGTCATTTCTTTGGATCGATTGAACATGTTCTTAGCTTTTGTTAGATAGATTGAGAATTTGGGTTTTTTCTCTAATCTTTTTCAGACACAATGTTTGGACTTTAGATGTTTACTTGTCTGAATTACGACCATTTTACTAGTGTCTGGAGTTTTGAATAGGTGGATTTATTATTTTCGGTTTTTATTTATCTGCTGCAGAAATCATATGTTCTTAATGTTGGGACTTTAGATGTTTAGTTGTCTGAATTACAACCATTTAACTAGTGTCTGGAGTTTTGAACAGGTGGATAGATTTATGATTTTCGGTTTTTTTATTTTATCTGCTGCAGAGAGCATATGTTCACAAGAAGAGGAACAGAAGAATGAGGGAGAAGCAAGAGTTATTGCGTAATGTGAATGCTTTTGCAGCAAACATGTTTACGGTACTATTATCTCATCTGTCTGTGCTACCGTGTTGGTAAAAGCAATAGTTATTGGTTTGTTTTACAGATTGAGCTTCATGAAGAAACCACACAAAACCACCTTATGTGATCTTAAGTGACTGTAACTAGTCTGTACTGCAAATACTATGATTCAATAGTAAAAAAGATATGGAAAATGCGAGGTGTGTTGTTTTGGTTTTAGTCGTTTGTGCATGAGTTTTAGTGTTTCTTATGGCTCTTTCTATAAAGGTGCTTTTGTTTATGCCATTGTGGGATTTTGTTTTTCATTGTAAAGCTCTCAGAGCTGGGGTTAACGTTTTGATTCCAGAGTTGGCATGATGAGTATGATGATGATGATGAGCCATCCTCAAGGAAGCAAAACTCGTGGTACAAAAAAAACTACGCCAAGGAACCTAAAGGGAAAGGGAAGGGCAAACACGGCTCCCAGAGTTGGGGTCCAAGTAAGTGATTGTTTTAGTTCTGCTCTTCAGTAGACTACAGTATATATGTAGGAAACATGTAGATTGTTCACTGCTTCTATAATCAAAATCTTGTTCACTGCTTCTATAATCTCCATTGTGTAGGGAACTTTGATTTTTGCGAAGCTGATGATGACTTTGACATTGACTATGTATTCCGAACTGCTTTTGGTGGATCCCGAGGTTTCTCCTTTTCATTCACCTATGAAGAGGAGGATGAACCTCGATGGGGTCGGCATCACTCTTCAAAGTTTTCCAATAACTCTAAGAGGTCTTGGAGATCGAAACATCGAATATACGAAGATGAAGATGATGAAGAAGATGGCTATACTTCAACAGAATCCAGTGACTCTGAGTCTGAGCCAAACCTAGCTTCTCATAGACAAGCTCTTGGCCTGAGTCCTTCAGGTCCATTAAACCTCAAAGACGTCAAAAATGCGTGAGTAACTTTCACTTTCATCATATCAACACACAAAAGCTATCACATTCATCTTCTCACCACTTCACATCAAACTTTTTATATGTATATCAGATTTCGAACTTGCGCTTTAAAATGGCATCCAGATCGTCATCAAGGCTCTACCAAGGTAAACCAATAAGATCATCATCCCCCATTTTTTATCTCCATTCTTCTATCTGTTCTTGAATATGTGATATGTATTGAAACAGGAGGCGGCTGAAGCAAAGTTCAAGCTCTGCAGTGTGGCTTATGATTCTTTATGCGAAAAGCTGGCGGTGAACTGAAGATGAAAGAGTTTAGATAGTGTTTGATTAGATACTTTCATACCAATAATATCCAAAGTGTTTCATTTAAAAAGCTTATCCTAAAGGCATAACACCACTACTACAGGATCCAAGCAATTACCTTTGTTCTGTCAATCTCTTATTATTGAACTTTCTAAAATTTAGAACCTAATAGTGATTGTATCACATCTCTTACTCCTGCGTCTATGTCTTAACCGGTTTAATTTGGTCAGAGACCAAGTCAAAGTAAACCGGTTTTCTTGTCTTCAACAAGTGAACTCTCAATAATTTTGGATTCTCTCTGTTTCTCATTCAACAAAATCATATCTCTAATGACATCTCTCTCCTTAAATGTCAAAACTTTCCGACAGAACTGAATACCCAGCGACGGAGAACCGTCACTGACGCCGGAATTTGAAGAATTTCCGGTGAAAACGCAGTCGTATAATGCTCAAAGCCGTACAGATCTTGGGTTGCTCATCAGGGTTAACCATCATCTCACAGAGACTAACCAAGTCCTCCTCCACCGTCTCTTTCCTCTCCAAATCTATAAACCCTCTCAAGCTCTCAACTTCTCCTCGCAAAACAACAACACTCTGTTTCAACCCGACCCGAATGTCTACCTCCTCACTTCCCGGGTCAGACCCAGTTCCAAAGTCTCCGACTTTCGTCGCTGTGAGCCTCTAAACCATCTCTCTGAAACAGAAAGAAAAGATCTTTCTGGTCTCATTCTTCAATTTTATCTTACTCTGTTCTTTTTTTTTCTGTTTTGTTGACTCAGGGAGATGTTCGGAAGATAAAGTTCTGTCAATGGTGTGGAGGGCCTACCAAGCACGAGATACCTGACGGAGAGGAGAAGCTCCGAGCTATTTGCACACACTGCAGCAAAATCGCATACCAGAATCCTAAGATGGTTATTATAGTTTTCGATCCAAATGAATGTGTCAAATCATCATGTGAAGATTCTTTCTTAATGTGAAAGAAAGTTGCAGGTTGTAGGTTGTCTTATTGAGCATGAAGAAAAAGTTTTACTTTGCAAACGTAACATTCAGCCTTCACATGGTCTATGGTACTCTCTATATACATTATACAAAAGCCTTCTTTTCCTTAGTGTTGTGTGTGTGTGAAGTTACAAAAATTTGAGTAAACAGGACTCTACCTGCTGGTTATCTAGAAGTTGGAGAGTCAGCTGCAGAAGGAGCAATGAGGGAGACTTGGGAAGAAGCTGGAGCTACTGTTGAAGTTGTTTCCCCTTTTGCGCAGCTTGATATCCCTCTTATTGGTCAAGTAAGAAAAACTCCTACTTGTCTTTTCTTTACTAGTTCATATCGCTGTGTACTTATGTGGATGTTTGGTTGTGGTCCTTGTGGAGCAGACATATGTTATATTCTTGGCAAAGCTGAAGAATCTGGATTTTGCGCCTGGTCCTGAGTCATTGGAGTGTCGTCTTTTTGCACTAGACGAGATACCCTTTGATTCCTTGGCGTTTTCATCTATATATGTTACCTTAAATCTGGTAAGTGTATGGATACAATACAATAGAATACTCTCCAGTGTTACTAGGTTACTGAAAAGAAAACATGTTTGGTTTTGTTTCTTTTTTCTTTGTAGTACTTGGAAGATCTTAAGAAGGGGACACTAAAGTTTCACTATGGTACTATAAATAAAAGGTGCGTGTGAGTGAATTGTCTGAGAGTTATTATCAACGGTTTCACTTATGGTTATGTGGTTTTGGTTCATTTCTCAGGCCTGGAAGTAGTCCTTCAGATATTCGAGCCTTTAGTCTTGATTACCATTTGCAGCCATGATTAGAGGTTTTACAATCCTTCCTTATAGGAAAATAGTCCTCTTAATCATGATTGAGACTTAGTCCTTAATGTGAGAGTCGTTTCTACAGAGCTTGCAGGAGCCAGCTTCTGGATTTGATTCACTCTTCCATGACATGTCTTTAGAAGCTCAAATGTTATGGCTGAAGAAAGTGTTTCTATTTCTGGTTTCAGTTGCCCCAATTGTAAAAGGAAAACTTCAAATGTGAATGAAAAACATTTTGATTATTCTGTGTAATTAAGTCACCATGTCAGTATTACTATAATGTTTTCTGAGAAGGAAATAGAAACCAAAAGATGGAGTATTATATCAGACCAAAGCACTTCAGAACATAAGAACAAAACAATTCCAAATTATATGTGCAGTTGTAAATTAAATACATCAAATCAAACAAACTGAGCATAACTCATATCTAGCTGAAGAAGAAGTTAAAGCTGTTGTCTCAAAGCTGAATCTTCCACTTTCCCTGTTGTTCCAGCTGGTTGTTATTGCGTCAGCTCTGTCTCCAAACCCTCACGAGGAACAGAGTCAGCGTGCACTCTCTTTCCTTCATCACTCGCCCCAAACTTCTCAACAACAGAAGTAGCCACTGGCTTAGGCTTATTCACAGGCTGTTACAAGTTGAAGCAATGAATATGGTAATTACAAGTTGATTGGTGGACACATAGTCATTTACTTAATTAACAAACTTTATATTGTGTTCTCGAAACCGCTTTCTTATCTTATTAAAATATTAGTGATTTCAGCTAATGACATAGTCTAAAGTTTTATTTTTTATAATATACCAAAGCTCTACCTAATTAAACTACGTTATCAATCCCCACCGCCACCATACATCATAATACACCAACTTAAAAGTTATACCCACTTTCTAGCCGCATTATTGTATCTTTCCAAAATATAAAATTACGTGACATTTAATTTACCTCTAAACCATTCCTCAGAACAGTTTTAATAATCAAACCATACATGAAATATCAAAGAAATGCTCGGCTTTAACTTATTTTCCTATCGTTTAACTAATTTCTCAATAGTCATAAATATTAACCGTTTTCAAAGATGCATATAGAACCATTACGTCATCGATCAATCTACAAACAATGTTCACACACCCAAAACATAGAGGGATATGTCCATTATCATCATGTACATAAAAAAATATACATAAAACTGTAAATGCTGATCGACATACTTACTTATCAGAAGCAGCAAACAGATCAGCAAGTGCACTTATCTCACTCTCAGCAGTACCACTACTTGTGCTGGCTTGTCCAAGCAAAGTACTTATCGAACGGGCCTTCACCATCCCAAGCTTCACTCTCTTGCTCTTCACTTCCACCACCACTGCCTTTTTCTCTCGGCCGCCACGACGGCCAGCACTCTTGTTCATGCTCCTTACTCTTCCTTTACCAAGATGATGCTCACAAAGAGAATACCCATAAAGAGTTTGCTGACAGCATCTCCATCCTCTACCGTTGACGCGGCTGCACCGTGATCCTTCCTCTAACACACCGCTCTTCTTGGCTTTCTTTTTTCCTTTATTACCACCACCACCGCCACTAGCTTCTTCTTCTTCCTCATCATGGAAGCTTATAAAGCCTCTTCTCTTCCTTAGAGTAACAACATTTTCATTCTCCTCGACGACTATTACATATATTGCATACAGATATGGTTAATGGTGCAACTACAAAAACATAAAAGCACCTTAAGAGGTCAAGCTCTACGTGTACCTTGTGTTGAAGAATTGGATTCTCCTGCGGGATTAACGTTCTTGCTGCGATTGTTTGAAGGAATAAAAAATTAATATAAATAGATGAAAGCGATTTATGTATGAGTGCAAGAAAAATATATGATAATAATAGAGAGCACACAAGATAAATAGGGTCGATATGGGGACCATAAGAGCATCACATGCTAACGTGCACCGTCATGAGGTGTGCATGTTTGGAGTATTATTGAGTATAGTCATCATCATCGCTAACTACTACTCTTTGTATTCCCAAATGTTTAATGTGTGTGAGAAAATGGTGAAAATATAAAAACCAAATGAAATGAAAATGAATGTACAACTTTTGGGGGATTAGATAAATTCACAACTTATACCAAAAGCTTTATAGTTCTATAAAGTAACTAAAAACCATATATTATTACACCCACAAAGTTATAATAGACATGAGAAGGAATTTGTAGAAAAGATTCATAATAATTATCGAATTTTACTTACCTGCCCGATGCATCAGTACTACTCTTTACACCATCATCATCCTTTTAAAAAAAAATAAAAGAAACGAAGATGAGCAGTTGAACATTATTTGATTCTAATAAAGATCTGCAAATGAAGAAAATCCATTGTAAATTAAACCGATTATTATTTCTACAAAAACATAAAACAAAGTACGGTCTTAATACAACACATATTGCACCAGGAATCGAATTGTTGAATATAGATAATAATAAGAGTTTATAAGTTAATGTCAACGTATAGACAAGAACTCACCAAAGCTTTCTCCTGATTCGGTGGAGAAACCGGCGCAGGCGGTTGTGAAAGCTGGAGAAGAGAAGCAAGAACCCCGTCTCTGTCTTGGCCGCAAAAGTAGCGAGCGGTGGCCGTCGGTGACCGGTTAAAGTAGAGATCTGAGAGAGGAACAGGTAATAGAGACGAAAGAGGAAGAGGCACTTGCCGTTTACGGATCCTCATCTGGAGAGAAGATACAAGAGATTCTTACTTTCTTTTTTCTCTCTTTCAAGTCTTTTTGTTTGCACCAAAGAAGTATTGTAGTGTAATCTTTTTTTTTTTTTTTTGGGTTAATACAGACTTGGAAAATAAATAAAGGAAAAAGGATTTGTGGTGTTGTGTTTTCTTGGTAATGGTTCTTCTCTCTCTCCCACACACTTTTATATTGTTGTTGCACCCAAAAAGTAAGTTAGTAGTAACTGAGAGAGGAAGAGTCCACGTTGGAATGACTGAAATTAGTAAACCATTTTATATACTTATTTTTTGAATGAATGTTGAATTTTATTCAAACAAAAAATCCTTTGTTCCGTAGTCGTCCATTTACTCTAAATTATTGTCCATTTACTCTAAATTAAGTGGTGACCAGTCGAGTCAATTTTCCATGAAATTTTTTTGTCTGATCGGGTTTAATCTATATGTAAAACAAAAATTCTGTTTGTTTTACATTTTTACATGGTTCATTTGAAAGAAGACTTTTCTCTATATATTTCTATAGACTAAAAACTGGTTTTGTAGAAAACCAGTAACCATTTTATATACTTGCGTTAAAGTATTTATCTATTAGAGAAATTTATAACATGTAAGAACATGGTCAGTGCTAATAATGGTCTGATTATTACTGATTTGGTGTTATTAGCCGCGTAACTACTAGGATTAAGTTTTCGAAATTTGTAACTAGACAACATGATTATCAAATAATTTACATAAATAATTATGTATATGTATCTCAAAATATTGGAAAATTGCCTGTTATTGACTTGACTGTATTTACGCATGTGTAATGTGATATATAAATCCAATGAATTAATACGATATTAAATTTTATTTTATTTATAGTAAAATTGATGTATATGACGAAATTGTTATATGCCTTTTTCTGAGTGGGTGGGAGAAGAAATTTGATCCTTAAGCTTTCATGGGTAGGTCCCTTTTTTACATCTCTTTAATTTCTCCCTTAAGTTGTTGTGTGTGTTTTTCGTTTGTCATCATCCTCTTTGTTCTTTGTTGTTTCTCTATTTTTCCACTCATCTCTCGCAAGTACATGAGAGACAAAATGTTCGAGCTAACTCCGAGTATTCATTCTTTCATCTCTTTCCAAAGATAGATCGAGTTAAAACAACTCATCAATTCATAGTAATCCAATAATACACACATCCCATATATAAACTAAAGCATATTATGTTTGTCATGCGAAACTGTTAACCAAAAAAAAAAAAAGAAACTGCTAACATTTGTTTATCAATTGATAGAGATCGTATTATATTTTATTTAGTAATACAAATATTAACAATGATAAGAAAAGAGAGGAACGACAATGTTGCACTTGCATCCCTCATTGAAATAGGTGGGAATGGGCTGTCATGTCACATTAAGCCAAAAATCGACAAATACAGTTCCTTTATTTTGCCATTTGTTATTGTTCAGGTGTAGGATAGAAACAACGCGATCTGGCGTCTTAACGTGCACATCATTCATCCAAGTACTTTTCCAGTTGTGAATATCTTGAAAGTATAGATTATACTATACTATGTGTTTTTATTTTGCCATTTAAAATGTCTATATTTATGATAGTTTATTAGTTGGGAAAGAACGAACAGTTTACAGCTGGGAGTGTGTTTCTTTCTTTTTTATGCAATTTACACACATTAACATATTTGGTTTAGTTGAATGAGACATTGATTCGTTTCTTATCTGACTTTTCTGATGAAAGACGAAGCATGTTTTCTACAAGTGACATTGAAGGCTTCGAAGCGACCCATCTGCTATCTATGGTCTGATGATAACTGATAAACTATATATTCATCAATGTTTATGTATCTTTGACACACTGCTTAGTTTTTTTTTTCTGACACATTGCTTAGTTGCTGCTTGAGTTTGTTTCACGTGACCTCGTGCGTGCTTTTCCCACGTCAATGCAAATGTGGTGTTGATCTTGAGGGATTTATCAGAGCTAGTGGTGATCAGTGGCTGGAGAGGAGTTTTGATTGCTCTTGTGATAGGAGGGAGCATTTCAAATGAGACATGTTCCGTTTTTTCTTGTCCCCATTATATTCATCATGTTGATCGCCGAGAGAGGATGATCTTGATCTTATATGGGGAGTCAAGAAGAGCTTAGTTATATATGCTTACCTCCTTGACCATTATAATGAAGAAAATATCAATTTATTCCAAAATCACACCTATTGACTTCAAAACACTCACATTTTGAAAAATTAAAGGAATTAGTAAGGATTCTTTTGTTACATTATACAGTTATTTGGCTTTACTATCTCAAATAACATCAATGTTTGTTTTATTCAACTTATATATACATATAAACTATAACCTTATAATAATTCAATCAAGAACTGTTTATTGAAAATAAGTTTATCACTCACAGTGATGATAACTACGAGACTAATCAGTCTTTCACCTCTTTTGTCAAAGACTAATCATTCTACTATCTCAAGTCAGTTTATGCAATGCTTTAAGAATTTATTAAAAGGAAAATTATCAGAATTCATTAATCATTAAGGAATTAAGCCAGTTTTAGTTCTTATATGATATATCTAACTAAAAACACAATATCTATTACATATGTTTATTTATGGTTACTAGTTATTTGATATGGTGGAATTCAGATTATGGAAATGTATTATCTTTACTCTGTTAAACTGATCATGATTCTTAAAAAAAAAATTTATATTACCAAATTTTGAAAAGTTGTGATTCATTATTAAAATTTTGGTCAGAAAATAAAAGTGTAATATTAAATAGCCAGAAAATGTACATGTATCTGTGGTCAAAAGAGATTGCATCTAATCCTGACCGTACGTTAAAGCTCTGTCTTCCTGTCTGATTTAAATACAGAACTTTCTCCGACTTTATTTTTCTTAATTGACACAGGATTTGATCGTACCGAAAGAAGGCGAAGATTCCATTTGACGAATCCGAGAAGGTTCGAAGCTCCAGTGACCTCTTTGAGATCATCTTCACCCAATTGACTCAATTTCACTTTTGAGGTCGAGCATCTCTCTCTTTTTTTACACAATTTGTCTCAAGTCCGGTTTTTTATCCGGTGGGTTTACTGTCTTGATGGTTACCTGTCTTAAAGTCAAGAGCTTTAAGGGTTCTACGATGTTAAATTTCAATTTAGGGTTTTTCAAATGGGGAATTTTGCTAATTAGGGTTTCAGAATTCTACATGAGTCAGCCATCTTCCTGTTGTGTTCTATGTCATGTGAAACATTTTCATTTGGTCTTTGTCAACCATGTAGACATGTCTTATGGTTTCTTTTTTCATGCAGGAACAAAACAAAGATCTAAAGGAGTTCAATTTTTTGTTAATTGATGGGTGAGGAGATTTCAAACATAGTGAACCTGGATTTGAATTTGGGTCCTTTCCCTGAGGTAAGTCTCGAGCCAGCAACGGATACTGCTGTTGTGTATTTTCCTGATTGGGCTAATGGACCATTGAATGGAGAATCTGAACCTCTGAGAAGGTTTTGGACACGGCACAGGTTGCGTTTAACACAGATTGATGTACTTCCGGTTCCTGCACAGACACATAGCCCACTGATAGAGTTGAGTCAGTTAATGATCCCTTCTGCCTTACCAGCTGGTGGAGAAAGAGTCAGCGAGGAGGAGTCTAAAAAGTGTGAGAATGGGAACAAAGTGGTTGAAGAAGAGAATGTGAAAGTGGAGAAGAGAGTTATTGAGAAGAGCGTTGGAAACGACGGGAGCTTTTTCGATTGTTATGTATGTTTGGACTTGTCCAAGGATCCAGTTGTTACTAACTGTGGCCATCTTTTCTGTTGGTCTTGTCTTTACCGCTGGCTACAGGTCTCAGAGGCGAAGGAGTGTCCTGTTTGCAAAGGGGAAGTATCAGTTAAAACCTTGACTCCAATCTATGGCCGTGGGGAAAAAGGCAAAAGACAGTCTCGAGAGAAGGTTTCAGAGACCAACAAGATCCCTTCAAGACCTCAAGCAAGGCGTGTAGAGAGTCTGAGGACTACACTTGAGAGGTCAGGTTATGTAGGGACGGAAATGATTAGACATTTAGAGGATGGGATACAAAGAGAATCTACTAGGAGTGGAGAAAGACCAGCTAGAGCGTTTATTAACCGGCTTATGTCTTCAAGAGGAGTTAGAGCAGAGCAGATACAGTCTACTGCAGCATTGGTCTCAAGCATTACCTCTGATTATGAAAGGGAAAGCAGACAGCTGAGGGTCCCCCCTCAAGGTATGTCTATCCAGAGACAGATGCAGGCAGCAGCAAGGGTATCGTTTCCTCCTGTTTTGACCTCTGCTGAAAGATTAGAGGATACTTATTTGATGGCACATGCATTTGATGAGCAACTCAACGTTCCTAGTGTTGGTGCTGAAGATAGAGATTCGTTCTCAAGCATAATAGGGGTAATGAACTCAGAGAGTCAAGTTGATACTGCAGCTGAGACTGATTCTACGGTGACTGTTTCAACTTCTTCCTCTGTGAGAAGACCACATGAGAATGGGTCAAGGGTCTCTGATGTAGACAGTGCAGATTCTCGTCCACTGAGGAGAAGGAGATTGGCTTAAGAGTGCTTTGTGGGGTACTAGAAGGTGGGAGTTGGGATCAATTTTATTGTTTTGGTTTAGTTTAGATTTATTTTTGGATTTTGAATTTTTGGTTTATTCTTAGAGGGATATTTGGTTATTGAGTCAAAAAAATTAATAATATAGTCAACCGCTTATAAATATATCTGTTCAGATTATGTTCATTTTGTATCAAAAGAGTAATAGTGTATTCAAATGGTCATAGAATATATGTATCTGTTCTGATTTTTGGTAGTCCAATGTACTTTACTCATCTGATAAATCGAAATCTTGGTTGACTTCCCCCAGTTACTATTATGTCTCTATAGCAACGTTTGACATCTGAACACAACGTCGCTTTGGCCGAGTGGTTAAGGCGTGTGCCTGCTAAGTACATGGGGTTTCCCCGCGAGAGTTCGAATCTCTCAGGCGACGACCATTTTTACGATTTCATTTTTTAACACGAAACTTAACTCTTGATGAGAGAGCCTATCATCTGAATGTTTAGGTAAACTATTATGAATTCTCAGGCAAGTGCTATAATGTATAAATTTTCTAATGATTGCAAAGATAGACTACTAGTATTATGGTCCAGAGAGGACGTGCAAGACGTGAAGACAACACTTCACATTTTCATACGTTGAGTATACTAATTTTGCTTTTAAAAATGTAATATGCAATATGTGATTGTTTTTTTTTTTTTCCTTGTTCCCGACTTTATCGCGCAAGAGAGAAACAAAGAGACTTGCAATAATCATTCCTCTCTTTATCAAACTTCCAAAACATTCCAAGGTCGTTGATCTTTTTTTCCAGAAACAGGACGTGGATTTTATTCAAACTTCTCAGAAAAACAGATCCTTGTGTGTTAATCTACAGTATTTATAATCATCATCATCATCATCATCCTTGTGGTGTTGATTCGATTGCAGAATCAAGGTAACAATCATTCTTTTTTTTTCTTTTTCCCTATATGTCGTGAAATTATCTGAAAAAATGGTTTGAAAATTCATGTTTCCCGATGAAATACATTTAAAAGATGTTATTAACAGATAAAAACAGAGATTGAGATAAAGAGAATCCAAAAAACACACAAGAATAAGACAAAAAGATCTCTGAAGATATGTTCTGTTGCGGAGGTGCGGATGAGGAACCCGCCGGTCCGCCAGCAAACCAGTATTCATCAGCGCCTCCTAACAAAACCGGAAATAACAATTTTGGCGGTAATTAACAAATCCTTAACTTCTCCTCAACCCTAACCCTAATCCCTTGCTTTGAGCGTTTGCGTTTTGCTTGCGTTTAGGCGGCGGGAACAGAGGAGAGCCTAGGAATACAAACGCGCCGAGATCTGGAGCTCCTGCAAAGGTTTTACCTATAGAGATCCCTTCTATTCCATTGGACGAGCTGAACAAAATATCAGGTAACTTCGGAAACAAGGCACTTATCGGTGAAGGCTCTTATGGACGTGTCTTCCAAGCTAAGTATAATGGAGGTGATGTTGCTATTAAGAAGCTTGATGCTAGCTCTTCTGAAGAACCTGACTCCGATTTCACCTCACAGGTACACACATAAACACGGCTTCACCTAACCTTTCAGCTAAAATTCTAATTATTGTAAAGTAATTTATCTGATATTAAAATGGCAAGTTATCGGTGGTATCACGGCTTAAAAATGAACATTTTGTGGAACTAATGGGGTACTGTTTGGAAGCAAATTACCGCATTCTCATCTACGAGTTCGCAACTAAAGGTTCCTTACACGATGTGTTACATGGTACGTGCATGAATTCAACTATCATTACTTATATTTTTTTATGGAATGTATATGTGATATTTAATAGATTTTTAGGGAGAAAGGGGGTGCAAGGAGCCGAGCCAGGACCGGTGCTGAACTGGAACCAAAGGGTTAAAATCGCATATGGAGCAGCCAAGGGGCTTGAGTTCCTTCACGAGAAGGTTCAGCCACCAATAGTCCACAGGGACGTAAGGTCCAGCAACGTCTTGTTGTTTGATGACTTTGTGGCCAAAATGGCTGATTTCAACTTGACCAACGCATCTTCAGATACTGCTGCGAGGCTTCATTCTACTAGAGTCTTGGGAACATTTGGTTATCACGCTCCAGAGTACTGTTAACATAAACCATTCGTTCATCTCTATTAATAAAGTTTAGTTGTTGTTATTTTACGGACTATGTATTAATCGTTCTTGAGAACTTATAAGGGTGATGATCTTGTGTGTTAGGTATGCTATGACGGGACAAATAACACAGAAGAGTGATGTATATAGTTTTGGTGTTGTGCTTTTGGAGCTCTTGACAGGAAGAAAACCCGTAGACCATACCATGCCTAAAGGACAACAAAGTCTTGTTACTTGGGTATGTACACAAATTAATTAATGTAAATATGCATGCTCGAAAGGATTAATACCCTTTAACAACTTATTATAAAAGTTAATTATAAAACCTTTTTTTTCTTTCTTGATTTTGCAGGCAACTCCGAGACTAAGTGAAGACAAAGTCAAACAATGCATAGATCCTAAGCTTGACAATGACTTCCCCCCCAAAGCAGTAGCTAAGGTCCGTTATTTTTGGTATTTAGCTATAGTTAAGCATTGAAACTAGATATCTAAAAGATACTACATATGTTTGAGTGGGGATGGTGCATTTAGATAAGTTTCTTTTGACTCATTGAATCATTACCTCAAAGTCTAAGCTAATGAGGTTAAGGATCTTTTGGTTTAGTTTTGTAATGCTGAGTTTTCTTTGTGTGTGGTGGTTGAACAGTTGGCCGCCGTGGCTGCCTTGTGTGTTCAGTACGAGGCGGATTTCAGGCCTAACATGACCATCGTTGTCAAGGCACTTCAGCCTCTTCTTAACTCTAAACCGGCCGGTCCTTGAATCTTCTTTCTAAAGTACCAATTTACCACTTCTCATGGTTTTGTTTTTGTTGTTGTTGTTGTTATGTTCCTCTCTCTGATCTTGTTGTTGTAAGATGTTGTCATCCTCTCTTTTTTTCTTTTTCTGCCAACAAGATGTTGTCATTCCAATGTAACTTATTGGTTTAAAGCCCTCTATTTTTGGTATAGCCTGGTAACATTAATGAGGTGATGCAATAAATAATAAATTATTTGTAGGATAACTAAAAACAATGTTTGATATGTTAAATCATTAATTTAGTGTATATTTAGAGACTATTTTAACATATACATACATTAAAGAATTACAATAATTGCTGTGGTCAAGAAAATATTTATGTGGATTGTAGAAACTAATGTATTAACTTAATTTACATATTAAATCATTAATTTAGTGTATATTTTTTGAGATTATTTTAAGATATACATATATTAAGAATTACAATAATAACCGTGGTCAACAAAATATTTATCAAAATGTATGAACATTAATGTATTGACTTAATTTTACATAGGAAGTCATTAATTTGTATACATTTTTTGAGACCATGTTAAAATATACGGGGATGTTAGTTGAAATTAAATTTATGATTTTTTAGAATTTTTAACTTATATTAAAAATTTACAATAATAACCGTGGTCAATAAAATATGTACGCGGATTGTAAAAAAATAATGTATTAACTTAATTTTACATATTAACATTAATTTGTGTATATTTCCGAAACTATTAAAGATAAAGATTTATTAAAAATGTAAATATTTGATATTTATGTAGATTTTAAAAAATATAATTTATTGACTTAATTTCCTTATTACATTAATTAAAAGACTAGCAAAATGGCACCACATTAAATGAAAAAAAATAATAATGTTTTCTTTTGAGTTAATATGTTGCTATTATGTGGATTGAAAATATTAAATACCAATTATTAAGTTACCAAAAATGTGTAAAGAAAAAAAAGAGTCTGTTAACTCTCTCTGTAACAGAGGAAAGTACATTTTGATAGATCCCTTGCATAGTTTTAGGTCTTATTTAATCATTCCAAACCCTCTTTCTTAACCAGCAACTCTCTCTCTCTCTCTCTAGATAATATTTAGCTCTGCGAATCTCATCGTCTTCGTCATCGTCGCGTCTCCCTTCCCCTCCGATTCAATCCAATTTTGATTCAATTCGATTCGATTACCTCCGTCGTGAAAGAGATCTCAATCCGGAGCAAAATCCGTAATCACGATTCATTCGCCCCAATAGATCTCGATCGATTGCTTTCTCTCCCCCGATTCGATTCAATTCGATTCGGCTGAAATTCGCCTTAGATGCTGGGTTTATCACACAAGGATGATCACTCATCCTCTGGGTTTTGGTCCAGTGACGTGGATGGAGTCAGTTACATTCAGCTTCACAAGGTCCCTTTCTTCTCTCCATTTCTCCTTATGATGAGTGTTTGGTTATTTGATTGTTGAAATTGAATGTTGAAATTATACAGTTCTGGAGTGAGCTGTCTCCGAAAGCTAGGCAGGAGCTACTCAGGATCGATAGGCAGGCTTTGTTTGAGCAGGCTCGAAAGAACATGTGTTGTTCTAGATGCAATGGACTACTTCTAGAATGCTTTTTGCAGATTGTTTCATTGCAACAGAAAGGATCCAAAGATCGAAACAACAACAAGAACTCGGCAGCTCTCAGTAACACATTGCAAGACCCTGATGCTCATCAATGGGGAGGTCTCACCGCGACGCGGGATGAATCGTTGACGCTTCTTGACTGTTATTTGTATCCCAAATCTTTCAAAGTGATACAAAGTGTGAGTTTAGTCCAATCCAAGGTTTTTCCGGGTGAGTCCAGTTAGCTAATGTATTGGTTTTGTTTGCAGGTGTTTGAGAGTGCACGTGCGAGAGAGAGGGAGCGTGAGTTGCTTTATCCTGATGCTTGTGGTGGTGATGGTAGGGTTTGGATAAGTCAAGGGATGAATGGTTATGGTAAAGGTCATGGGACGAGAGAGTCTTGTGCTTTGCATACCAGATGGCTCTCTTGTGATACGTTGGTTGATTTTTATTCTGCTTTAGAAGATGAAAGCCGACTGTCACTTTTCACTATGAGAGAAGAGGATTTCATTGGAAGGCTAACTTCCAGGTTTTCTTTTTATTTGCTGATTTTGATTTTGTGTTTTTTGGATGTTGGTCTGTCACAGGTTTAGTTTAAAAGGTGTTTGGCTATGATCTGGTTTCTTCAGTTAGGGTGTATTTGTTAACTCTTTGAACATAAGTTGTCATGTTAGGGATGTAGTCCATTGCACTATGATGTGTCAATCAAGTGATTGCAGGCATTACTTAGTTGTTGTATTCTCTTAATCTTTTTTTTGGTCTTGTGTCTTTTATTTTCCTTGCCTCAGTAACATGTTGACCTTTCAAACTACAGATTCAACTGCAAGAAGTTTTGTAGAGATTGCAGAAAAAATGTTATCCGAGAGTTTAAAGCGCTTAAGGACCTTAAACGGATGCAAAGGAAACCACAATGTACTGAATGGTTTTGTGTTGCGGATACAGCCTTTCAATATCAGGTCTTTTATCTTTCTTAACCTTTTCCTTTTTGTGGATTTATTTACCCTATACTACAAGAGTTGATTTACCTGTAATCCTGAGAGGCTTATATTGCAATAGAATGAGAAATGTAATTGGAATATCTCAGGTGGGTATTGATTCCGTTAAAGCAGATTGGAGTCAACATTTTACAGAGAATGCTGGATATTATCAGTTCGAGTGGGCTATTGGAACTGAAAAAGGTGAATCAGATATCCTCGAGTTCAGACGAGTTGGCAGTAATAGGAGTGCCCAAGTCAATGGCCTAGACCTTCATGGATTAAAAGAATGCTACATTACTCTTCGGGCATTTAAAAAAAATGGCCGCTCCTCCGAGATATCAGTCAAAGCCCATGCATTGGGATGCCAACAATGCGTTCATTCCAGGCTTGTGGTTGGGGATGGCGTTGTTTCAATTAGAAGAGGGAAATGCATCCGAATGTTTTTTGAGCATGCCGAAGAGATTGAGGAAGAAGAGGTAAACTGAATTCTCACAGCTTTTTGACTGAAAACCTTATAATATTTACAACTTTGCAGATATGATATCTCCTTGCTAAAACATTGTCATTGTATTTACAATATATAAGAGTGAAGACAAAGATGGGAATGAGCTTGATGGTGAGTGCTTCCGTCCTCAAAAGCACGCTAAGAGTCCAGAACTTGCTCGAGAGTTTCTTCTAGATGCCGCAACGGTTATTTTCAAGGAGCAGGTTTGTTATAAATTTCTCTAAGTTCACTTCCCATCTATTTTTTTTCTGTGCTTGATGTATGCTGTTCAATACTCTCTCTTCTAAATAATATCTTAGGTTGAAAAGGCATTTAGAGATGGTACAGCCCGTCAAAATGCACACAGTATATTTGTCTGCCTTTCATCGAAACTATTAGAGCAACGTGTTTACGTTGCCTGCAAGGAAATTGTCACCTTGGAGAAGCAGGTTTGTTTGCTATCTTGATTGGACCTTTTTGACAATCTATGCAATTTAAGAAGACATTTTACCCTTTTTCTGTCCAACAATTCCATCATCGTAAACATTTGCAGAATAAGCTTCTTGAGGAAGAAGAAAAAGAAAAGCNAATGCGAGGACTCTGGAATTGAAACTGGAGATGTAGAATTGTCTCCTCCTGGTTCTCCTGATGATGAAGATAGGGAGTGTTTGGATGGTTGCATTACTTCAACCGCGGAGACCCACTATTCTGACACTGATAGAGAGATTATAGATCATGAAAATGGGTGCTGTACTAATGATAGCCAAAGACCTGTTCATCAGACAGAAATATTATGGAAAGAACTTCAGCCTGATCATGCCTTGAGGGGGTCAGATAAATGTAGATATCCGGAAAATGCTTCTTTTGTTGATAGCTTGGAACTGTCATCAAGACATCTTAACGGGTCAAATAAAAATATGAGGGTCAAAGCTTTGAAGTCTGGTGGTAAACCAAACAACATTAGGTCTCATCAGGGGTTTCAGTGTTCAGACAACAGGAATGGTGAGAGGTACGATGACCATTCTTGCAGTTACAAACCCATTAATAGACACTGGCAAAAATCAGAATCTAATATATCTGCAGCTAGAGGCATGCCAGTAACTGTGAGAAAGGTTTTGGACTCCATGCAGCTGAAGCATCAGCGAAACAGCTCACACTCTGACGCACCACCAGTTACATGTTCAACATTTAAGGCAGAAGAGGTTGAGGTTTTAAGTTCCGCTGTGAAGTTAGCTGACACACAGTCTGAATGCAATGCTACAGAAAAGCTGGGTAATGCCAATCATAGTGATTACAGTTGGGTTTCTGGTAAGTATATTAATTTAACCGAGGAAGGCAAGAAGATGGAAGTTCATTTAACATCAAAGAATGATGAACTGTACTCGAAAGATCCTATAATGAGTAGAAGCTCTAGTTCAGATAATTGCTCTTCATGTCTCAGTGAAGGAGATAGCAATACAGCTTCTTCAAACAGCGGAAACACTGAATCCTCCCCGATGTCTGATCCGGAAGACGGTAGTCAGCACTTCGAAAGACGAGAGAATCTAGTGGACGCTGAAAACAATGTGCATGACAGTCACGAGAAGATGATAAAGAAAGAGACAGAGAAGAGTGTTGATGAAAGAGACCTTCTAAAGGTTAAGAAGATGCCTAACCATCCAGCTGAGAACGGGGAAAGTGAATTATCGGGAACTCCTTTTACGGTTCTTAGCCACAACATGGAAAATACGGTACCCACTGTGAATACTGGTTCCTACCTGTCCCAGCCACAAAGCATGATGTATCCCCAAATGCAGAGTATACCGTTGCCTGTCTTCCAGGCTCCTTCAACAATGGGTTACTACCATCAAGCTCCAGTTTCTTGGTCTGCAGCTCCAGCCAATGGATTGATGCCCTTCCCTCATCCTAACCATTATGTGTACGCAGGTCCTCTTGGATACAGTCTGAATGGAGACTCACCGTTATGCCTGCAGTATGGGACCCCATTGAACCACTCAGCGACCCCTTTCTTCAACTCCGGCCCAGCTCCAGTTTTTCATCCGTTTGCTGACATCAACACAATGAACACTGCTGAACAAGTTCAAACTTATGAGCCACTGGAGCACAACTATCTGCAGGAAGCAGCTGATGAGAGGAAAATAAACAGAATCTCTCCAGTGAAAACTCCAAGTAGCAGAGGTCAGGAAACTGGTAGCGGCGAAGACTTCTCCTTGTTTCACTTTGGTGGTCCGGTTGCTCTGTCTACAGGAGGTAAATCGAATCCTGCTAATCCCAAAAAGGGTGGGGTTTTGGGGGACTTCTCCTTGCAGTTCACAAACAATAGTAAGAAGAAAGAGAGGACAGTTGGTGAAGAGTACAACTTGTTTGCGGAAAGTAACAACAGTTTGAGGTTTTCTCTCTTCTAAGAGGTTTATACTGTTTATTGGATACAGTTTACTGTGGACTGTTTGGTGGTTTATTTCGTTTCATGTAAAGATCTCAGCAAGAGTTTTGTCTTTTTTTTCTTTCTTTTCAAAGATTCAGATTTACTTAAAATGAATGATTTCAGTACAGACGAATATCTATAGATGTTTCTCTGGCATAATCTATCAGCAAGGTAAAGTCCCTTTGTTCATCAACAAACTGGGTAGCTCAGATGAATGCTTCTTACTCAAGGTGAAATCAACAGGTCTGCAGTAGTTTGGGTATTGAATATCATTGAAACTTGTCCAATTCCTGATACATAGAAACGAATATTGGATAAACTAATAAATATGATAAATTAACAAACAAAATTCCCATCCCAAATTGCAACATTTCAAAATATGGTAGAAATCGAAATAATAATAGATAATATTTTTTCCAATTCTATGTAAATATGTGATCTCACTAAAATCACAAATTAATAATCTACATGTATGTACATTTTATATAAGTACAAACAAACTACTGTAATATTTCTTTATATTAATAATGCAATTATCTTTATATTTGCTTAATATTTTAATATATTTTGATGATATTTAGCAAAAATATATCTAAAACCATATATACATCAAATAATATAATAAAAGTCATATAAAAGTTATATTTTTAAAAATATTAATTTATATACATTAAAAATCAAATATTTTTTTAATTTTATAAAAAGTAGATTTGAAAATAGAAATAAATCCTAAAATAATTTTTTTGTAAATTAATAAATCCATGAATTAATAAAATACTATAATCCCAACATTATTAATTTATAAGATTTTTTATTATATTAGAAACTAGAAAAATCTGTTAAATCTTGAAAAACCAAACTCAAAGATTCAAAATGAATATTTAAAACATAAATAATTATTTCAAATATTAAATTATTAAAAATTATTTCAAAGTGTTTAAATTTAAAATGGATATTTATAGTTATAAAATGAAGAGTATTTACTAACTAAACTCAATATATTCATAAGCATTATTTTTAAAAAAATCATAAAAATACCTCAACTATATTTAATTAAGCATTTTAAAATCTAAACTTTTTCACTACCTAATTTAATACTCTAACTAAATATTTTTTCATTTTAATATGCAAAATTTTAAAATTGTATATTTTTAATACCTAAACTTTGTTTATTTTAATTAAAAACTCTAATACATTTGAAATGAAATTGAAAAAACTAAGAAAAATTTGAAAAGTTCTAATTTTAATTTAAGATTTAGGAAATAAGGTACTAAATTAGGGAGAAAATTTTAATTTTGATAAATTAAATTTGTTTTTATTGCAGAAAACAAACTAAATTCAATATTTAAAACCTAAAAATATTATTTCAGAATTTAAGATTAGACACAATTTTTTTTTTCTAAATACATATAATTAGAATTTTCTGAGATTTTTTTTTTTTGTAAAATTTCAGATATTTTTAAAATTTCAATTACTCCTTAGTATTTTTAATTAAAAAATGAGTATTAAAAGGGACATAGTTTTAAAAATTTTATAAATTAAAATGAGAAATTAATTAATTAGATTATTATCTGGATAGAGAAATAGTTTGAGTATTAAAAAGTTTAACATAATTACATTGAAGTATTTTTATGGATTTTTAAAAATATATATATATATATCAAAATTTAATTATTGGACATCATCACATTCATTTAAAATAAAAAAAGAAACTTAATTTAGTAAAAAATCTCATATGGTTATCATTCTATTATGACATGATTGATGACTTTCTTCTATATAACTTTGGTTATATACTAATAACTTAAATCCAAAATCAGTTTGAATCCAAAGATTTTTTTTTCAAAATAATTTGCTTATATGTAATCATAATATTCATTCTAAATAAAAAGAAAATAATTTTTCAAAAGTTGTGTGATGTACAATTATTTATTACAATTTTTTTGAAACATGGTAATGAATAAAGAAATAATAACTCGTTCCGGTTAAGGTAATTTAATTTTAATATTTTTATAACCTTCTTCCCAAGCCAGCAACTCTCGCTCACGCGTTTCGCTCGCCTAATGTGTATATTTAGGCTCTGCGAGCGAATCTCATCGTAATCGTCTTCGTAGCGTCTCTTTCCCGATTCAATCCATTTTGATTTGATTCGATTCCTTCCCTCCCTCCCTCCATCAAAGGGATCTCAATCCGGAGAATACATCGTTCATCGGGTTTATCAGGATTCACCCAATTCAATCCTACGATTGCTTTTCTCCACCAATTAAAATTTTCCGATTCGGCGCAGCTCTGAATTCGCTTTGAGTCAATTTACTAGTCTTTGCCATATGGATCATCGGTTGGTGTCTTGGTGAAGATATAGACGAGTGCTTGAGAAATGATGGCACACAAGGATGAGCACTTTTGGTCCAGTGACGTGGATGGAGTCAGTTACATTCAGTTGCATAAGGTCCTTCTTCTCTCCATTTCTCCTTATTCCTTATATTGAATTCTTATGATGAGTGTCAGTTATTTGGTTGTTGGAATTGAATTCTTATAATGAGTGTCAGTTATTTGATAGATGGAATTGAATGTTGAAATTGAATTCTTATGATGAGTGTGTCGGTTATTTGATAGATGAAATTGAATGTTGAAATTATATATATACAGTTCTGGAGTGAGCTGTCTCTGAAAGCTAAGCAGGAGCTTCTGAGAATCGATAGGCAAGCTCTCTTTGAGCAGGCGCGCAAGAACATGTGCTGTTCTCGATGCCACGGTTTACTTCTCGAAGGCTTCTTGCAGATTGTTTCATTGCAACAGAAAGGATCCAAAGATCGAAGCAACAAAGCTCTCAGTAACACATTGCAAGACCCTGATGCTCATCAATGGGGAGGTCTCACCGCGACGCGGGATGAATCGTTGACGCTTCTTGACTGTTATTTGTATCCCAAATCTTTCAAAGTGATACAAAGTGTGAGTTTAGTCCAATCCAAGGTTTTTCCGGGTGAGTCCAGTTAGCTAATGTATTGGTTTGTTTGCAGGTGTTTGAGAGTGCACGTGCGAGAGAGAGGGAGCGTGAGTTGCTTTATCCTGATGCTTGTGGTGGTGATGGTAGGGTTTGGATAAGTCAAGGGATGAATGGTTATGGTAAAGGTCATGGGACAAGAGAGTCTTGTGCTTTGCATACCAGATGGCTCTCTTGTGATACGTTGGTTGATTTTTATTCTGCTTTAGAAGACGAAAGCCGACTGTCACTTTTCACTATGAGAGAAGAGGATTTCATTGGAAGGCTAACTTCCAGGTTTTCGTTTTATTTGCTGATTTTGTTTGTTCTTTTCTTTTTTGGATGTATGTCTGTCACAAGTTCAGTTTACAAGGTGTTTGGCTATGATCCGGTTTCTTCAATTAGGGTGTATTGTTAACTCTTAGAACATTAGTTGCCATATTTTAAATTGAAAAATGGTTAGGGACGTAGTCTTTCAACTTTGATGATTGTCCAATAAAGTGCTTGCATGCGTTACTTAATTGTTGTATTCTCTTATCTTCTTTTCATCGACTTTTGTCCTTTTTTTCCTTTCAGTAACATGTTGATCTTTCAAAATGTAGATTCAACTGCAAGAAATTTTGTAGAGATTGCAGAAAAAATGTTATCCGAGAGTTTAAAGCACTGAAGGATCTTAAACGAATGCAAAGGAAACCACAATGTACTGAATGGTTTTGTGTTGCGGATACAGCCTTTCAATATCAGGTCTTTTATCTTTCTTATCCTTTTCCTTTTTGTGGATTCCTTTACCCTGTACTACAAGAGTAGATTTACCTGTAATCCTGAGAGGCTTATATTTCAATAGAATGAGAAATGTAATTGGAATATCTCAGGTGGGTATTGATTCCGTTAAAGCAGATTGGAGTCAACATTTTACAGAGAATGCTGGATATTATCAGTTCGAGTGGGCTATTGGAACTGAAAAAGGCGAATCCGATATTCTGGAGTTCAGACGAGTAGGCAGTAATAGGAGTGCCCAAGTCAATGGCCTAGACCTTCATGGATTAAAAGAATGCTACATTACTCTTCGGGCATTTAAAAAAAATGGCCGCTCCTCCGAGATATCAGTCAAAGCCCATGCATTGGGATGCCAACAATGCGTTCATTCCAGGCTTGTGGTTGGGGATGGCGTTGTTTCAATTAGAAGAGGGAAATGCATCCGAATGTTTTTTGAGCATGCCGAAGAGATTGAGGAAGAAGAGGTAAACTGAATTCTCACAGCTTTTTGACTGAAAACCTTATAATATTTACAACTTTGCAGATATGATATCTCCTTGCTAAAACATTGTCATTGTATTTACAATATATAAGAGTGAAGACAAAGATGGGAATGAGCTTGATGGTGAGTGCTTCCGTCCCCAAAAGCACGCTAAGAGTCCAGAACTTGCTCGAGAGTTTCTTCTAGATGCTGCAACGGTTATTTTCAAGGACCAGGTTTGTTATAAATTCCTCTAAGTTCACTTCCCATCTATTTTTTTTCTGTGCTTGATGTATGATGTTCAATACTCTCTCTTCTAAATAATATCTTAGGTTGAAAAGGCATTTAGAGATGGTACAGCCCGTCAAAATGCACACAGTATATTTGTCTGCCTTTCATCGAAACTATTAGAGCAACGTGTTTATGTTGCCTGCAAGGAAATTGTCACCTTGGAGAAGCAGGTTTGTTTGCTATCTTGATTGGACCTTTTTGACAATCTATGCAATTTAAGAAGACATTTTACCCTTTTCTGTCCAACAATTCCATCATCTTAAACATTTGCAGAATAAGCTTCTTGAGGAAGAAGAAAAAGAAAAGCGTGACGAAGAGGAGCGAAAAGAGCGGAAAAGAACAAAAGAAAGGGAGAAAAAACTTCGTAAAAAAGAGAGGATGAAAGAAAAAGAACGAGAAAAAGAGCAGAAGAATCCAAAGTTTGTCGATAAAGCAATGCTGCCAAATTTGTCAAGTGAANAGCGAAAAGAGCGGAAAAGAACAAAAGAAAGGGAGAAAAAACTTCGTAAAAAAGAGAGGATGAAAGAAAAAGAACGAGAAAAAGAGCAGAAGAATCCAAAGTTTGTCGATAAAGCAATGCTGCCAAATTTGTCAAGTGAAGAAGAAGGCTCTATGAATCTTGATGAGGAATCAAACAATACCATAAAATGCGAGGACTCCGGAATTGAAACTGGAGATGTAGAATTGTCTCCTCCTGGTTCTCCTGATGATGAAGATAGGGAGTGTTTGGATGGTTGCATTACTTCAACCGCGGAGACCCACTATTCTGACACTGATAGAGAGATTATAGATCATGAAAATGGGTGCTGTACTAATGATAGCCAAGGACCTGTTCATCAGACAGAAATATTATGGAAAGAACTTCAGCCTGATCATGCCTTGAGGGGGTCAGATAAATGTAGATATCCGGAAAATGCTTCTTTTGTTGATAGCTTGGAACTGTCATCAAGACATCTTAACGGGTCAAATAAAAATATGAGGGTCAAAGCCTTGAAGTCTGGTGGTAAACCAAACAGCATTAGGTCTCATCAGGGGTTTCAGTGTTCAGACAACAGGAATGGTGAGAGGTACGATGACCATTCTTGCAGTTACAAACCCATTAATAGACACTGGGAAAAGGCAAAATCTAATATATCTGCAACCAGAGGCATGCCAGTAACTGTGAGAAAGGTTTTGGACTCCATGCAGCTGAAGCATCAGCGAAACAGCTCACACTCTGACGCACCACCAGATACATGTTCAACATTTAAGGCAGAAGAGGTTGAGGTTTTAAGCTCCGCTGTGAAGTTAGCTGACATACAGTCTGAATGCAATGCTACAGAAAATTTGGGTAATGCCAATCATAGTGATTACAGTTGTGTTTCTGGTAAGTATATTAATTTAACCGAGGAAGGCAAGAAGATGGAAGTTCACTTAACATCAAGGAATGACGAATTGTACTCGAAAGATCCTATAATGAGTAGAAGCTCCAGTTCTGATAATTGTTCTTCATGTCTCAGTGAAGGAGATAGCAATACAGCTTCTTCGAACAGCGGAAACACTGAATCCTCCCCGATGTCTGATCCGGAAGACGTTAGTCAGCACTTCGAAAGAAGAGAGAATCTAGTGAGCACTGAAAACGTTGTGCATGACTGTCACGAGAAGACGATAAAAACAGAGACAGAGAAGAGTGTTGATGAAAGAGACCTTCTAAGGATCAAGGAAATGCCTAACCATCCAGCTGAGAACGGGGAAAGTAAATTATCGGGAACTCCTTTTACGGTTCTTAGCCAAAGCATGGAAAATACGGTACCCAGTGTTAATACTGGTTCCTACCTGTCCCAGCCACAAAGCATGATGTTTCCCCAAATGTTGCCTGTCTTCCAGGCTCCTCCAGCAATGGGTTACTACCATCAAGCTCCAGTTTCTTGGTCTGCAGCTCCAGCGAATGGATTGATGCCATTCCCTCATCCTAACCATTATGTATACACAGGTCCTCTTGCATACAGTGTGAATGGAGAGTCCCCATTATGCGTGCAGTATGGGACGACCCCATTGAACCATTCAGCAACCCCTTTCTTCCACTCCCAGCCAGCTCCAGTTTTTTATCCGTTTGCTGAAATCAACACAATGAACACCGTGGAGCAAGTTCAAACTCTTGAGCCAAAGGAAGCAGCAGATGAAAGGAAAATCAACCGAATTTCTCAAGTGGAACCTCCAAGCAGCAGAGGTAGGGAAACTGATAGTGGCGAAGACTTCTCCTTGTTTCACTTTAGTGGGCCGGTTGGTCTATCTACAGGAAGTAACTCAATTCCTGCTGCTTCCATTGGGATTTTGGGGGACTTCTCCTTGCAGCTCTCAGGAGCTCATGCGTTTGGTGACAACACTATGAAGAAGAAAGAGAGCACAGTAGGTGAAGAGTACAGCTTATTTGCGAAAAGTAACAGCATGAGGTTTTCTATCTTCTAAAAGCTTTATACAGTTTACTGAACAAGGTTTACATACAGTTATACTTTGGATTTGTTTGGCGTTATGGAGGGATTGTGTAATCCAGAACGCAGTTTATTTCATTTCATGTAAAGATCTCTGCAAGAGTTTCTTTATCTTTTCAAAGGTTCTGATTTGCTCAAAATGATTCGTGCATTTCATTACAGAGACAACAGGAACAGAAAAACAAATCTCATTATAGATATTTCTCTGACATAATCTATTGTTTGGAGAAGGTAAGAACAGCAAGGTAAAGTCCTTGTTCATCAACAAACTGAGTTAACTCAAACGAATGCTTCTCAGCAACACTCTTCAAGGTGGAGTCATCAGGTAAATCAGAGACAACCACGTCTGAAAACTCCTTCCTTTGCTGCTTTAACCCTTCTCTACCTTGCGGGTGACTGATTACAACTCGTGCACCTGTTAACAAACCATTAAACCAAACCGTGAGCCAACAAGGTAAAAGAAGCAAGACATAGACAGAACACTGTTGTTACCTGAGGAACAACGTTGAGACAGTGTCTTAAACACCTGGTCGAGATCAAAAGGCAAAGCTGGAAGAAAGTAGAGAAACACGACATCTAAAGGAGACCATTTATCTGGAACATAGATTAACTCTCCTTGCCAACATTTGACTTTGTCGTATTTCTCTTTGACACAGGCTAACATGAAAAGAGAGTCGTGGACTATAAGCAAGAGCTGAGAAGGTGAAGATTCCACCAGACGATCAACGAACGCTTCTGAGCTAAACGAGACTAATACCCTCGAAGACTCTGTTACTTCTCCTGCCTTTATGATCTTTTCGACCTTTTGGTTCTGTTCGAAATCCATGGATTCGAGTAAGGACCAATCTTTCTCATGGAAATCGTCCATGGAGACTGTTTCCTCTGGTGGGGAAGAAGAGGAAACAGACAACGCTCTGTGACGAGAGACATCAAACTGTTTACTGGAGAATGAAAGAAGCTTAGGAGAAAGGTAGTGACTTTGGAGACAAGTTAGCTTCTTTGGTTGCCAAGAACCGAAGGCAGACAGAGAAGGAAGAAGGGTCGAAGAAGAAGATGGAAACGAAAGGGAATGCATTGATAGACTGTAGGCTCTGTAGAAGATAGATAGCAGAGAGAGAAGATGAATTTGTAGGGCATCATCTGAATTGGAAGACGATGACAGTCTCTCTTTGGGCCTAACTAAGAAAGCCCACAAGGCCCATTATTGAATATTTGGGTAGCTTCAGTTGATGCACTGGAAAGTGCCTGTCTTGGCTGTTGGGTACAGAGCCATCTTCTGATGTGGATAGCAAGAAAATTGATTTATATGATTGTGCATGTAGAACATGTACTACTCTGCTTCTAACTACATACTGTGTCGGCTCTAGGGTAGTGCAAATGCTCAGAATCCCACAATTTTTATCAAATTTTCTTTGCTGTTTAGAACCCTAATTTTTCTAGTTTTTATTTAGCAAAGGGTTCAGTTTTAAAATTTAATTGATGTCTTAAGTAGAAAAAAATAATATGGCACAAGGCCCATCTATTTTTTTTTGAGCCGGCTCATCCATACCGTTAGTCATACAAATTATAGTGTAATTGTAATTTGTGTTCCTTCATATCTTCAGTCCTCAAAAATTCTTGGTTTCCTTCTTGATTCATTTTAAAATCAGTCATATAACTACAAGAACCATGTTTCCTCAGTAGCTACCTTTTACAAATTAAATTAACTTTGGTTGTGATATGTTTGTCCTTAATCTTTAAATAACATCATTTTTTTTATAAATTTTATCGACTGATCTGGTCGGTCCCAAAAAGAACGCAATAGTGTTAAAGAGTGGTCTGACTACCACACTGTCTGATCCGAATTTGGACTACCTTCTGACTAATGTCAGGAGGTAAACATATCATCTAGTATGATCTACCATGTAAATCACTTGGGCCGAAGTCCAAACCCAGACTAACCAAGTAATGATAATTTAGTTCACAGGGAGAATCGAACTCATAACTGATATAGGTACACACCAAACCTTAAATAACATCATCTAAATAGTAGATGTTAAAAATTTGTTTAGTATAAAAACTTAAGAGTCTAAAGGATAAATGAACCACATGGCGGCCTATAGTGTCGGTGGAACTTTATGTAGCTTAGGTTACCAAAACAAGACCACCATTTTGGCACAGTTTGCATCGTTGTATGAATCAGATTGAGTTTTAATTCGAAAGTGGTTTGAGATGTGTACTGTTCGAACTATCATCCTCAAGTTGCAATTTTCCTAGGGTTGTGGGCCGATGTTCCTTAACTTCCACTAGTCCTTCAAGGCTTTAACAAATCTAATCTATAAAAAAGAAGAGACAAGAGAGCAGAGAAAAGTGGTCCTAAGGTTATATAATGTATGTGTATGCTCTTCACACGTCTTAATTATATGCTTCTTTTATCATGTTGTTCATCACATGCTTTCTTCTACATTGCATTAACTTTAGTGGGGTCCTTTTCTAGCTGCTCTTGATGTTAACTCTTTGACATGTACACCACCATATCCTTAAAAAATTTCCATAATTTGATAAAACCATCACGTAATTCTCAGATGTACTGTGTTCTCTGGTGTAGCCTCTGCAGCTTTGTTATCCAAACAACTGTTTCGACTAGTGCATATATGTCTTTTATGTTCCCATTAGATTTTTCTGAAAAAACTTATGACTGGCTGAACTTGCACCTTCACTATTGTAATACTTTAGACTTGAAGATTTGTGGCATAACGATCAGTTAATTACAGCTCATTAGGTTATTAGTTACATGCTATACCATAATACCAATCATGCATATTAGGATATTAGATAACAATAGCAAGGACAAGTGAGATTAATTAGCCTTTATATCTCGGTTGAACTTTTTGCTATAAGATGCACCACAGCTGGTAATTATAAGCTTCGGTACTAATAATATATCTATAATCATCATGAGTTGTTGGAAAAAGAAATGATCTAATCATAGTAGATATATGGAGCAGGCAATGCCACATATATTATATATAGCTGTGACTGAAGTCATTCCAGAACTAGAAAAGTCAAGCTTTTGAATTTTTTGGTCTATCTAAAAAATTTGATTTTTATATTGACTTTTTTTAAAAAAAAAAAAAAAAAAAAATTGACCAACCGCGGGTCACCATGTGTCCCGGGACCCGCGCTACAGTGATGAACCGGATTCACCGCAGAGAGTCTGCAAGAGACAGGTTCATCACTATTCCTTATTTTAATAATTTTTTTTTTTTTAAAAAACGTGTGAACCCCCATCTGAACCCTTGATGGGGGTGCTCTAACACACGTTAGGTACGAGGATTGATATCTACTTGTCTTCTTATTATATATACCATTAATAATTTATCATTCTTGTAGCTAGGCCTTTTTATTGTAAAGGCATTCTATCAAAACTATGCTCAATTAGCAAGAAACATTGTCATGTGTGGGGGATTCTAACTACTTTTATTCCAAGTCCATTATAATGATTATTATGTATGCGTAGAGATGAACAAGTAAATACATTGTATACATCTTAGTTGATGTATTTCCCTTTGAGTTACCCGAATAAGATTTGAAAAGAAACTAAAGAAGAAAGCTTTTTAGGTTATAGGCTTTAGCTTTAGGTTAAGTGTTAGATGTGAAAGATCTCTTAGGTTAACTCTACATTTGTGATCATGCATGGACCACTTTCACTTCTCAACTCTCTTTCTTTCTACACCCCCCCTTTTGTCTTGTCCATTGTCTTCAGTGATCCCCACAGTCACCGAATCATCATCAACATCAAGGAGCTTTCTTCTTTGGTTCTTGGTTCAGTAAAAGACCGTTTTATTAAAACGTTTGGGAACTAAAGAGACTTGTGTGGGGTTTAATGGTTAAATAGACAAAACAATTTGAATTAATGAGACATTTGATCGAGACTTGAAATTTCTTGACTCCAACAACAGAGAAAGTACGTACATAATATGACTTCCATGGCTATTAATTAATTAATGTTTCTCTTTGATTCTTGAAACCATAACAGAACTCAGAAAAATGAATGATTGAGCATATTTTTTTCTAAATTAAATCAGAAATTATTCTTTTATTAATATATATAAACTTAGAATCTGAAGAAACAAACCTCATCAAAGTTTCAAGATCTACACACCATGCCGGTTCTTCTTACAAAACATGAACACCTCGTCGTTTTTTTCCTCACATTGATGGCTCAGTTAAAAAGATGGACACCAAAAAAATAAAAGTGTCAAAGATGAAGATCGAGACTCAGATGATCTTGCACATTAGGTTTCATCAATCTATAGGGCCAGTTAGGCTCCTTACTCTCCTGGTCATGCGTCCTAAACGCTGAAGCTGAGTAAACGTTATGAATAGCGTTTGCTGACGTTGAAGGCGGTACACGCCAAAAACCTAAAGGACTTCCGTTGATCGTCGGTGTGTTAGAAGAAGACGGAGGAAGAATAGTGCGTGAGTAATACGACGGCGTTTGTTGTACTCCTCCTCCTCCTCCACCACCGTAGAATCTAGCTTCTGTAGTAGTCCAAGATGGATAGTGACGGTTGTTGAGGAAGCCGTAGACGTGGTGAGGCTCATGCTGATGATGAAGGTAGGAAGTCATTGAACCGCGTTTAGCGTGTTGGCGTTCGCGTTTGTGAGCGTTTTGGTGTCCACCTAGGGCTTGAGAAGTGGGGAAGTTTCTGAGACAGTAGTGACACTCGAATCTCCTGTTGTTGTTGGTGTCTTTGTCCTTTTCTTTGACATTCTCGGGACTCTCGTCGTTGATCTTGGTGGTTGTGGTTTCAGAAGTGTCTTCTTCCGGTTGAGAAGTACCGGAGGAGTTATCTCCGACGAGTTCTTGGCCGAAGAGACGAATGATGGAGCCTTTTTCTTTGGGAGGTGTACGGCGGATGAATGGAAGTTGAGAGAATGATTCAACGTTGACGTTCATGAAATCGTGAGTTTCTCTTCTTCCATTTGTTTCGTCCATTGAAGAGAGAGAGGAGTGAGTGAGTTTGGGACTGTTTCAGAGACAGAAAGACACGAGATGAGGTTTTGCATTAATTTAAAGAGGTTCCAAAATTCTTTTTAAGGTAATTAACTGTTATTTATACCAGTATGCCCTCGTGGGTATATTAGAATTTTACGTTTAATAAAATTCTTCTTTTTTTTTGCTTTCTGTTTTTTAAGAATACAAATTTATCTTATCATTGATATTGTACGTAACATAATGTGTTTAAATAGTAGCTTACTTATATTTTCTTTTTTTTAAAAAAAAACTAGTAACTTCATGTTTAATGGTGGATTTTTAGAGTGGATTTTTAGCGGAATATAAGAACATATCTCTTAATCTTAACTAAAAACGCTGAGAACCAGTTCGTAAATAAGATTTTTAAGAACCGGTTCCTAATTGTTTTAGTTAAAAATTAAGAAATGAATTTTCAAGTTCTTATATTATGTTGAAAACTCAATCCTAAGAACCCTCTATTAAATATGCTCGAATATATGATTGATATTTTATGTACCTTATCACGGTGGGTAAGCTTTTTTCAACCGAAATAAAAATTTAGTATGGCCGGAAAAAAGAGAGGCCTCTTTATTCACTTCTCCACCCAATTAGACACACATTTCCTTCTCTTAAAACTCCAATAAATCATCCTTTTTCAAAACTTATCTCCGTTTTCGGTTAGCTGTTTCTTAAAAGTGATTCCTGAAAATGTTGTAAGGAAGCCAAAAAAAGTTTACCAAATTGATCATTGGCAGATGAAATGGGGTCATGGTGAGTAATGGGTTGAACTAAAAAGAGTGAAATTTTGTAGGTAAGAGATCATTAGCATGGTGAAGTTAGGTATGTAATCTTTTACACCTTGGACCCTAGCTATTTGGTTATTCTGTCTACGTATAAGTACATGGATTTTACTACTAATAGAGAAGTTAAAGAGGAGATAGACAGAGAGAGACCTAATTAGAGAGAGCTCTTCTCTCTCAAGGACCAGCATTTTACACTCTTAAGATGTTTCGTATGCAAAGATGATCTACAGAGAGAGAGTGGTCCATGTACTGATGTACATGATCATTGAATGATGCTAGTTAATAACCAACTAGTTCGTGTCATCACCAGATAATTAAACCAAAGATTGATTCTTTGTTTGTAGAGATCTCGTCCTCTCATCAATGCATGTAACATGTTGATACTTATCAACACGATCATCCGGCAAAATTTGGTCCACGTCTTCTCCATTTTGAACTATTTATTCCCTTTACTTTTTATCTACACATTCAAAATTTGATATTGTACGAATAATTCAGTTTTTCAGTTCACTTGTTTCTCATACTAGTCTTCGTATTTTTTCCTGGTTCGATTTTGTATATTTTTGGTCATGTGAACGTATGTAATGTTAACTGATTTTTATTAGTTTGTTGACTAAACAAAACTGAATACGCAGTTATAAACGGAATATCATCCATTTTAAAACATTGCTCTTTACACTAATCATGTTTTTACGTTGACAACCCAAATTCTAACAAAGATGTTACAAATTTTTATGTCGCTTGATATAAATCTCATGAACGTACGATAGCACAAACAATACGATATGCCCGATTATCCAAGAACAAGAACACAATATATTATGTATATTTCTTTTTCATATTTGATGATATATTCATAAGCATAAACTATTATTATCACGTCTTATGTAGTCATACTTTAACAATTTTTTTTACTAACTGTTTCATAGCATTCTGGTAATGATGAACTTCTCAGTCCCATATCACAATATTCTTCGATATATAACTAAAAAGAATTTAGATAATCAGATGTTCATAGTTAAAAATTAATTTTACGTATAGCTCTTACGTAAATTTCATGTTGGTTAATTAAGTTGATATCTTCAATGAATTAAAATTATTATGTTATTGCCACTATCAATATTTATATTTTGATTATTTATGACTATTTATATCCGTGAGCACATAATAGTCACCTAGTTATTATATCCATATGGATCCGGTCATTTGATTCCGAAATTTATCAAGAGCATCATACTGATAAAGATTGATATGCACAAAGACATCCGACATCTAATATATAAACTGAAATTTACTATTAAACAAGCATTTAAATAAGACATTTTTACTTGGCTTATGGTTTAAATAAAGCTTTATCCCATGTATGGTGTTTATTTAGTTGTAAATGTTTATAATAACTAATGTATCGTTTTACAAAAGTTTTTTTTTCAAAATTGTCCCAGACGGATTCCCCTAAAAGGATTGTTTAGAGTGACTTCCCTACATGTATTCACATATCGTGTATGTGATTTCTGACTAAATTAGAAAGCTCTTTTCGAAAAAAAAAATCTGACTAATTAAAACGTATTGTAAGAACGGAAATAAATTCAACTATGGTAATGTCCATGCGAAGTAATGGTCCCAAACTACATTAAAACTTTGCAGATTTTGGACCTCACATGAGGAGTCCACATCTATTTATTTTTCAACAAATAAACCCTGTTTAAACCTAACATGCGGTGTAAATTTTCATCAAATAATATTAAAGAAATATCCCTGGGAAATCATGATTTTAAGAGTTTTGATAAATAACATAAACTAATAAGAATATTTAAGTTTTTTTTCTAATCTTTAGTAATATAATACAATGGAAATTCTACAACCGATAATATATTTTGTAAAAATATGAACTGACGAAGATCGGAGTCTATGTATATATCATATATGTAGAATCTTTGATACTTGTAGTCGGTTGATTCGTAAGTCCTAATCAATATCTACCATCAATATACTATTTTTAAGACTAACTAGAGTTTTTACCCGCACGTTCGTGCGGGTATATTTTTCATTTTTAAAAATTTATTTAATATTAATGTAAATATTTGAAATATATAATTTATATTTTTATGTTATATATTGTGTAAATTTATAATCTAATTGGTCAAGGTTTTTATTCAACATTATTAATATATAATATTCTTTAATTTTTTACTTTGAAATTTATAAAATAGTATAAGATTATTTTTTTGTTATTATAGTGAAATTTTAATTAATATTAATGTATAATAGTATGATATTATTAATTACGAAATTCAATATTATGTTATTTAATAATAAAATATTTAAACTTTTAGTAAGATTTTGTTAGATTTTCTCTCAACCGATTCTGTTATAAATAAAAATAGAATGTAAATCTATTATTTTCAGCATATATGATATATATTTGATTGATTAACCTAAATAATTTAATATGTCATACTAAGTAATAAATGAAATGGTCCTATATGACTTATTTGTAGTAGATAAAAATAGTGACTCTATTTTAATAGAGTAGATGGGAACTCTTTGAGAAAACATAAACATATAACAAGAAAAATAATCTAAGAAAAATGTCATTAAGAAAACTAAAACAAATCTAAGAAAATGTATCTGGGTCCCATGAATGGCAATTGAACCCCACAAAAAACATGCACTTAAAAGCCCACAAATCTCCCAAACCCTAACAGCAACCCTTCATTGAATCATGCAAATGCAAACCTCTTTGCTTTGCCATTAAAGTCACAGTCATATGCTCAGAGATTTAATGGCTTTTGTTGAGGGGACCATATCTCTCACTTTCTTGCCTTCACATCCATTTCTTGGATTCAACTCCTAGCTCCACTCTTACATATATATGTACGCAAATTCTCTCATTATTTTTTTTCTCAAAAAGAAAACTGGTGAATTGTTTGGCCAGTAATAAATAAAGATCATAAATATATGGAAGATGAAAAAGAGTCTAGATTTTGAGGGACAAGCATATCTTGTCCTTTTCGTTGTATGTGACCTCACAATGTTCAGCTATATATAAGGATCAAACTTCAAAGTAATATAGGAAATACATGATGGAAGATATTTTATTTTAAGTAGAAGAAAACAGAAAATAGGAATGAGAGGAAGCCCAAAATTAAAAGCTATAGAACAAATGCAAGTGGAGTTAAAAACAGCATGAATAGCTCACTGGTCTCTTTCAGTGTTTACCAATCTATACTATAACTCTCCATCACTACATCGAACTCACCAGACTCATTATAAATTTTTATGCAATAATGCCACGATCAGTTAGATATATCACGGTATGATCTTCATCACACATTACGAATAGGATTCACCTTTGTAAGATAAATTGTTTTCTACTAGTAAATGAAAATGATTTTTTTGATAAGTATGAAAATAATTTTTAGCTGAACCGACACTATGAGCTATATATAATTTACCAAGAAATATAAAAATTCCTAATAAATAAATTTAATAAAAACTATGTATATGAACAAACGAACGAGTTCAGAATTAACCATAATGCTATAAAAATTAGTATTAACCGACCCAAATCTCGAATTTCAGTATGAAAAATGAATCACCGTTGCTATATTACGTCGTGTACGATAGTGTTTCATGCGCCATTGTTTGATAGTTTTTTTTTTGTTAACAACTCCTATAAAGAAAAGAGAGTTGAAAGCGTTAATTAGAAGGAAAAGAAAACATGATTGAATGAGCAAGGAATAGGCGGTGACAACAACATATGAAGAGAATGGTCTCTCTCAACTCTGTCTATGTATGTGAAATGTAAAAAAATATAAATACAAACAAATGTCAAAATGCATATAATTATAGCTTTTGGGAAGGTCTAAAGCTTTGGTGGGTATAAGATTATCATTATTGTCTGAAACTGATATGGGTCTTGTTTCTTTTATATGGACCACCATTCATGAATATCCCTATATGTATAACTTTTTTTTTTTTTGCTAACTATATAATATATAGTGAAGCATCTTTTAGGATGATGGTTTAACAATGTATGTGGGGAACTTCTCTACATTATGTGATATGTCTCCGGCCCTCTTGTCATTTTTCCTTCTTTTTAAAACAAACAAAATTCAAGAAAGGAAACATCTCTTATAATTTTTTTTTTTTTTGATACTACAAAGCCTCGTGCGTCAATTTTTATTGACATAAGTATACATTGGTTAGGCATTTAAACTCGTTTTTATAATGTCAACCAAAACAAAGTGGTTATTCCCATGCCCTTCATAATGGGCCATTTCTCAAACGGGCCTTTTGTTTCGGCCCATGTGTTGTAATATCTTCAAACCTAGACGGAGGTTTTCTGATTCTCAACCCTACCCTCCTCCTCACTCCACCCCCTGCGTCATCATCAGCCACCTCCCTCTCTCCGGCCAAAAACGGATGCAACAACAACTCCGAAGCGCTTCCTCTCTCTCCACATTCCCTTGCGAAACACTTCTCCATAAACAACCTTGCGTCACACGGCACATCCCCTGGAATCTCCGGTGCCTTTCCACTCAATAAACGAGACTTTATATCATCAACACAAACCCCTACCCATGGATGCTTACCGTTATACATCTCCAAAACCACACAACCTAACGACCACAAATCTAGGGTTTTCTCCACTCTACCGTCGCGTACCGACTCTGGAGACATGTATAGAGGCGTTCCGACAAAAGGAGAGCTATCTTCCCAACAAACAGACTCGTCTCCCGCCTTAACCGTTAATCCAAAATCAGAAATCTTTAACTCGTACGAACAATACCATGTTTCTTGATCGTAACGTGGGAAGAGAAGGAGATTCGCCGGTTTAAGATCGCAATGGACGTAACCGTGATCATGAACCGAAACCAAACCTTGTAGAATCATCCGTGTGAAGTCTTTGATAACCGAATCCGATAATCTTCGGTTTATACGGATGTACTCGGTTAGGTTACCACCAGCTGCGTATTCTATTGCCATCTTGTAGACTTTCTTGCCGGTAGAATCGGTTTCTTGACGCAGAGAGTTACCGAAAGATTGCACGATTCCGTGACATCCTCTGAGTTTGGTTAGGATACGAAACTCTCTTTCGATGGAGTTGTAATCTTCGGAGTCTGTGGTTTTAACGGCGTTGTGGAACGTTGTGCCGTCGTCTTTGGTGTAACTGAAGAGATCTACGGAGCCGTACGCACCCTTTCCTAGAGTTTTGATGAATGTCGCATCGGGTTTGGTTTGATCGATCTTTGGTTTCTTTCTGTAACGTCGCATGTTTTCGTGATTGAGTTGCGTTTTGATCAAATCTTTAATGGTTTACTTTCTTTTTATGTGACTTGTTAGTGAAGTGGGGTATTTATAAAACCTAGAGAGCGTCGAGTTACGTAGAGACTATTAAGAAAGGAAAATCAAACCTACGAAAAAAAAAGAAAAAGGAAATATATGTAGTATTCTTCTAGAAAGACGTCTCGATCTTTTGTTAAGACACCATTAGAGATTGGGCAATGAAAAGGAAACTGTTGAGAAATCATAATTAATGAAAATATGCAATCGCCTGAGCCTTTACCTCTCTTCTCTCTGAATGTTTAAATTTCTTTTTGCTTTGTCTTCTCTAATTATATTTTGTTTGCGTCTATGTGCATGCTCTGATTATTGGCGTAGTACTCATGAGAAAATTTGCTTTCTTTTAGAACCTGAATGCTCTTTTTACATTACTGATGCAAATGGGCTAATGTAATTAATACAAATTAAAAGTCATAAAAATGGTTTAAGATGCCTCTGAACTCATTTCCCTCACGTATGCAACATTAGTTGTGTTGACCAGCTTAGAATATTTCATTATGTTGTGTCAAATGATAATCTCTCTACGTTAATAAGTAACTTTTCAAGGATGATTAATGTTCATTGTGCGGAGGTTGTTCATAAGCTTGTTATAATTCTTCCTCATAGCCAGGTGAATGAAGCAAAAGATCATGTTGGTATTTAGTGGCATGATAGATTAATAATCTTGAGGAAAGGTTAGAATGTTTTTCATAAGATTCTAATAATATTTGCTAGACCGCATTTAATTGGTCTGTAAGACACAAGGTGGTAATGGCATTGTCTGTGTATGTGGTAGCTTCATTTTTTTATGGTTTCTTATTTTGGTTTTTGCTTGGAGGCTTGTCTCTGTTGTGCTGCCTTAAAAGCTTTCTTGATTTGTTTTAGGATAGCCTAGTATTGGATTATAATGCAATACTCTGTTTCTGTATTCAATGGCCAAAGCTACCAAACTCACTAGAGAATATTTACTCATGTAAGAACCTGAACCAACCTCAACAATCAAATACTACAAAAATCAATATTTGTGTAATTGTGTTAACTAAGCTAAGCCTTTATTAGCAAACTGCATCGTTACCAAGTGAGGAAGCGCCAAAGAATTATTCTCTTAATAACAAAAAGGTTTAAACCGTTTCTTTGACTAAACATATGAAAGCAAAAGAACCACAAGGGACACTTTTCAATCTCTCAATCCTTTTAAGCTCTTTAGCCACATCAGTCATGTTTGGAACATCTCCAAGACGACCAATGCATCTCAATGATAGCTCAAGAAATGCTTTGATTTGAAGCCTCTCTCGCTCTATCTCTCTACCCTCAACAACCAACATATCCTTATCTACAACCTTATCAAATCTCCCATCCTTTACCAATCTAGAAAAACATTCTGGATCTTCCACCAAATGATCTTCTCTTGTCCCAAAGATCGGTTGCGGTATTCTTCCAGTTAAAAGAACAAACATAAACGCTCCAAAGCTATACACATCAGTCTTCTCACTAACCAAACCTTTTGACACATAGTTAGGATCAAGATACCCATATGTCCCTTCCACTACATCGTCTTGAACATACGTTTCACCTTCTGGAATGAAAACACAGTTGCAAAACTCACCCAACTTGGCTGTTCCATTCTCATTCAAGAAAATCTGACAAGGCTGTATATCTTTATGGACTAGAGTTCTTGAAAACGCTGTGTGAAGGTAAGACAAAGCGTTTGCAATCTCTTTTGCTATAACGATTCTCATACTCCATGATAGTGATGGATCAATAGGACATCTTGCTCCTCTCAAGCTACGAGTTATGACCTCTGCATATTCGCAAACTAGAACCGGGTAAGAGAACTCTAGGCAGCAACCTAACAGTTTCAAGAAGTTTTTGTGACCACTCACCATGGATAAAACCGCTAAGTCGCGGTATATCTTTTCAGAGAAAATTGATCCTCCATAAGCCCATTTCTTGATAAGCACGACACGGTCATCTAGTGTGCCTTTGTAGTGACGGAATCTATCGATGCGGACAAGATTACTGCGGCTGAAGTTGTTGGTGAGAAGTTTTTTATAGGGTTTGGTTTAGCATCATCACTAATCGCAATTAGCTCCTCGAGTAGTAAAGATCCATTCTTCATAAACATTTTATGTCGTTCGTTGACTTCTTGTTTTTTCTTTCTCCACCAAAACATTTAAAGGTATAGTTTCAAACTACAGAGCAAGCAAATCGCGTAGAAGCCCAAGGAGAGTTTGATTTTGGATTTGAAAGGAGATGACCAAAGATATACAAGAAGCGATTTGGTTGGGTCAAACTCAAGAACATCATATAATATAAAGTCCTCGTGACTTGTGTGTTGTAGGTGGCAAGCACACGGTGGTTGGAAGGCTTAGAGAGCATCATCAGCGGTAAATGAGTTTTTTTTTCCTAAACGAAACTATTAATAATTTAATTATTTTTATTTTTAATAAATTTAATATACCACAAACTCGATAAAAATTGGGTTTTCAAAAAGAGAAAATGACTAGAATAGACCTAAAAAATTTGTAGTCACAAATATAGACCTTAATAATTAAAATGATTAAAATAGCACTTAATTATTTTATTAAATATACATTTTTACCCCTTGAGTTAACTAATCCTAGAATTTTTTTGTTTAGAGTTGAGAACTGGGGTTTTGGGGATAGGGTTTCAAATTAAAAAAAAAATTAAAATTTTCAAAATAAGAAGTGTTATTTTAGTCATTTTAATTTTAAGATCTATTTTTAAGATAAAAACTTAAAATATGACACTATCTAAGTGAATTGCCCTTTCAAAAATCTTTGAAATTTTTTCTTTAATTTTTAATTTGTTAATAAACATGGTCAGTTAGTGTGTTTATTGACGAGTGAATGTGATTGAATTGTTTCTTATGCAACCAGCTACTTGCAATAATTAAGCTTTATATGTTGAATTCAACATAATCAATTTATAGTTTTATTCGAGTACAGCTGTACTTTGATTGATGTTTTACTCATGTTAGGAATAATATAAGATAATGTTTTTTTTTGTTAAAATGTAATTGTTACCTAATAAATGATGTACAAAACAGTCAATATCATGAACGTTATGGTAGTATAAGGAAAATATATGGAAAAGACGAAAGAGAGAGAAAGGAAGAGAAGAACACATTTTATTTTTTATTAATCAGCATTACATAAAATTTGTCTGACCATAATCAAATTATTAGTTCTTCCGTCTTATTCACTTTGCCTGTCTAAACAACACATACAAAATCGGACATAGTAGAAACTGATAGAGAAATCAACTTCTTTTTTTTTGAATTAAGCTTAATTTAGTTCAAGTAGTAGGTGAAGAGTGACACAAGGGAAGCCCCAACCAAAGAGCCAAGAACCGGTACGGCTGCAGAGGCTCCGCTTGCGGCGGGTCCTGGTGCCGGAGCTCCAACTTCGGTAGCCATGACGGCGGTCATGGAAGCAGCAGCGAAAAGAACTCCACAGGCAATCTTCTTCATCTCCATTTTTTTTTAGTTGAGACCTGAAAGGTTTTTTATTCTTCTTTTTTTTTCTGGTAGTTTTATTACTTTTTTGTTTCTTGCAGGTCTGAAGAAAATTAGAGGCTGTTCAAGGGGATTTATACGGGAGGTAGGTAAGTTATTTTTAGGGAAGTTTATTTTTAGGTAACTAAATATAGCAAAATATATAGAAATTAGCATCAATAATGTAAATTTAAGGAAACTCACCGTTGAATTTGTATTCCATTGTGTGGTGGCTTTGAGGCATTTAAGCGTTTCCACTTTCTATCCATAGATTTTACCGGGTCAAATGTATATTTCTAAGTTAGTAACTCTAATTAGTTAGTAACAAAAGTTAGTATACTTTCAATTTCTTGACGGACGAGGCACGTATTACTTTATACAATGGTGAAAAAAATACTAAGCAGTTTAATAGATTGCAATGGTGAGTTGAAGAAAAATAGAAGGAGACGTGGATTAAACTTTTGGGATATAAGTGTGTCACAGTCTGCTCATTAGCACCATTTCTACCGTGATAATACAGTGACTCAAGCCCTGATGAAGTTTAATGAGGCTCAAGACCCTTTGGATGAGGAGGAGGGCGCTTGTTTTGGCAGTAAGTCTTTTTTTTAGGACAAGTGTCTGTGATGGTGGAGCAGGACCAGGATAGGGACCAGAACCATTAGTAGGTTTACACGAACTTCTCTTTCACTACAATGCGACCGACTTTGAGCCCACAAGAGTAAGCCTGAGCCTAAGATGCAAAAAAGTTGTAACGAGTTTTTTTTTTCTTTCAAGAAGAAAGGACATGACATATGGAGATTCTTGTGCAAAGGACTCCCAACTTGTTCTTGGCTGTGTCTTTCTTTCTGTTTTTCTGCTTTGGAAGAAGCTCTTTTCAATTTCATTGGCGGTTTTATTTTCAAATTTCAACTGTTAACTTACACTAACTTCTGTTATTTTTTATTCCCAACAAAAAATATAAAGATCAAGTTTATGTTTACATTCAACATCTTGAGTCTTGTAATATCAATGAAAATTGTCTCATGGAATCGACTCCCAAACTCTTTCATGATCGCTTTAAATGTCCTAAGTTACTAACTCTTTCAAGATTACAACGGACTATAGCTATCAGCAGTATCATCATCATTAGTATCAATGCGCAGTCTCAAGTTTGTTGGAATAAAATAGGGTGGTAACATTTCCACACATATTCACATGCATGCATGAAATCTCATGTATGCGTATGTATAGAAGATATATTTTTTTTTTAAACAGTGTATACACATCTTACCATTAAAATATACAAAATGAGTACTATTCTTCGGAAATAATGCATTACAATCCACTACTAATCTGATCATCCGATCGACCATTTCGTCATTTAATTTTTATTTACGTAAATATTTGATCAGTGATTTCATTCAAAGCCGCTACAGCCTACAAATGCATGGTCCATTTTTAATTTGATATCAAAACGTACTACATGGACTCTGGTGTAGTCTAAAACTGTGAGTGGTTGTAACTTAAACCCTCCCTGCGCCGGAAAACATGACACGTATAATATTAAACTAAGTTGTATAGGTATTCATTAGTTAAAAGTTGCTGATAAAATGTCATAAATATAATGAAAAGCATAGCAGATTGATATAAGAAATTACAAAAAATCATTACCTATACTATCAGAAAAAGACGAATTTATATAAAACCGTAGTGACTTCTAGTACGTGGCAATGGACTTGTGTGGCATCTTCAAACCATTTAGATTCATATTTGATGCTGACATATGCAGTTTTGTCTTGCGGGAACATTCAACTAGTTAGACATGGCCACGTTGAAACAATCGTTTTGTAGTTGAGACGTGTATTATCATGTCTTTCATGGTGGGGTTGAAGCTTACCGACACTCCAACCATTTAGTTTCCGTCTGGATTCGGTTTCCTTCCTAATTTAATAAACCAAACCTGGTTTACTAATTTTGGCTTCATTTCCTCCGAGCATTTCGTTTTAATTCGTTTGTTTTTCCGGTTTATTTCTAACTCTTAAATCCCAATAAAGCCTCATGGTATCATGCTAAACAATGTGAAGAAAGATAAATTTAAATTTTATTACTGTCTTTTTCTTACAACTATTTATTGTCTGTTACAACTCATGATAAACAAGCACGTCTCCGAATGTTAAATGCAGTCGTTATCTACTGGACCAACGTTGTTTTCATGAAGAGGCCCTTTGTCATGTTTTAAATTAATAACTTTCTTGAAAATTCGATATTTGAGTATTTTTCTTTGTCTTGTAGTGTTATATTTCCCACTACTAATCTAAAATTAAGAAAAACGAAGCTAAAAACCTTTGACATTACAGAAGAGTATCTAAGCCCAAATAGATCAAACTACTTTGTTACAGATCAAAACCATGATTATCTTCTTTTTTGCCTAGTTCCTAAAACCCTAGATGATGTTAACTCTCTACGGTCAAGAAAGCTCGCCTGACCGCACCAGCCGGGATGAGACGCCGGAGACTGTCGTGAGAGACATCCACGCGCTTACTCCGGCGTCTACGACGGTGTTGCCACCACCTCCTGCCTTGCGAGGCTATTTTTCTCCGACTAGGTCGACGACTACTTCCATAAGCGAAGGAGCGTCTTCAGGTGAAAACTTCACAACCATAAGCAGAGAGTTCAACGCTCTAGTCATCGCCGGCTCATCCATGGGAAACAACAACGAACCAACGGCTCGTGAAGGTGATCAGGATTTGATGAGGAGTATCCACGAGGAGAGGGAAGAAGAGGAGATGAACCCATTGGCAATAGTGCCGGAGCAGTATCCGGATTCGGGTTTGGATCATGGAAGTGGGAATGAGTCGGGTCAGGTTCAGGGTCGAGCTGGGATGACGTCGGTACAAAGGGTGAAGAGGGAAGAGGTGGAAGCTAAGATAACGGCATGGCAGACTGCTAAACTTGCTAAGATTAATAACAGGTTTAAGAGAGAAGACGCCGTTATTAATGGTCGGGTTAACGAGCAAGTCCATAAGGCTAATTCTTGGATGAAGAAAATCGAGGTGAAATTTAATTATATTGTATTTAAACTTTCTTATCCTATGTACGATGATTAGTAACATAAACACCATATATATATATGATTAGTAACATAAACACCATATATATATGTTTATTATAGAGCATACACGATCTGATTTAGTCTGGCTATGTACTATATAGTTTGCAATATAATAATGGTAATTGATAGATCTTTGGAGTCAGTCCAAGTGGACTGTAGACAGGTGTTTCTGAAATGAAAAAAACAAAGAATGAGTGGTTGATAAATTTGATTAGATGAAGTGGGGGCATAAGTTGTATGTAATTTGATATCTTAACTGTTAGATGTTAATGTTAGCTTGTTGTATATTTGTATATATTCACAATGTAAATATCATACAACTACGTGCGTGAAAACCTCTCTATTGTGTTATAAAAATGTAGAGGTTTAAGGAAAATTAAGAAAATGTGGCCATTAGCATATTATAATTTGGTTTTGATGAATTCAGAGGAAGCTAGAGGAGAGAAAGGCGAAAGCGATGGAGAAAACACAGAACCAAGTGGCGAGAGCGCAGAGGAAAGCGGAGGAGAGGAGAGCAACGGCGGAGGCGAAGAGAGGAACGGAAGTTGCAAAAGTTGTAGAAGTTGCTAATCTCATGAGAGCCGTTGGTCGTCCTCCTTCCAAACGCTCTTTCTTCTCTTTCTCTTCCTAGTTCTCTTATTGGTCAACCATAAAACTTATAGAATCTCATCATTGGAGATACATACTTTTTTTTGTTGCTAAAAACAGGACTTTACTTCCAATTACTATGTACACATATATATAAGATATAGAAATACTGATTTGTGAGTTTCTAGCACCATAGAACTAAACAAATATTTTATTTTTATGGAAGATAGATAGTGTTATAGACCCCGGCTATTAAAGGTCCAAGACCTAACAGATATGATATTTTGGTGATATGATATGGTTTGAAGAGAGAAGCAATCCATTGTGGGGAAATTGGAAGTTCTCAACAACATTTAGCCCCAACTTTAATCATATCATACTTCTATAAAAAAAAAAAGAGCATTAGAAATTACTTTTATTAGATAAGATATTTATTAAAAAGAGCACCAGAAATTGTACATGACTTTTTTTGTTAATAATGAAATTGTACATGACACATGTTAATTTTAGACACAAAAAATTAAAACATGACATTCCCTTTCATATACATAAATAAAAATGTCATGCAATATATTGAGGTGGAATTTTATTTTCGTCTTGGATATAAAACAGGAAGATGATCGTGACTCGTGGTCCTATAATCGTTCTTTTTATTTAGGGGGGATATTTTTCAGATTTGCTTGGACATTACGGAAGAAAAGTCCTAAAAATAAATTATTACAGAAAGACATATGTCAAGGAAAAAAAAAAACAGAAATCAAGATAACAAGAAATACAGAGAGACTTTGGGAAGGAAGGACTTCTTTCCGTGTTCTGTTTTAAAAACCTTCCTTCCACATCTCTCTGTATTTGATGAGAAAGAAGAACATTTTGTTATGTGTGTCTTTACATTCATTTGATTACAAGTCTAGGGTCCTTTGATTATAGGGTTCTTGTTCCTCCTTTTCACGTTTTCAAGAACATTAAATTGTACATAATGGGGAATTGCTGTGGAACGGCTGGATCTTTGATTGTTAATGAAAAGCTAAAGAAAGGTTTAAAACTTGCAAATCCTTTCTCCATTGACTACGGTCACCGCCACGATGGCGAGAAGCTTGTTGTCCTCAAGGAGCCAACGGGTCGAGAGATCAAGCTGAGATACAAATTAGGTCGGGAGCTAGGTCGAGGAGAGTTTGGTGTAACGTATCTATGCACAGACAACGAGACCGGAGATGTTTTTGCGTGCAAATCAATCTTGAAGAAGAAGCTGAGAACGGCTGTGGATATAGATGATGTTAGGAGGGAAGCTGAGATCATGAGGATTATGCCTGAGCATCCAAATATTGTCACGTTGAAAGAGACTTATGAGGATGACAAAGCTGTGCATTTGGTTATGGAGCTTTGCGAAGGTGGTGAGCTTTTTGATAGGATTGTGGCTAGAGGTCATTACACGGAGAGAGCTGCAGCTTCGGTTGTTAAGACAATTATGGAAGTTGTTCAGGTTCGTTAGTTTTTTTATGACATTATTGATCTATATCATTGCTTGAGAGGCACGTCTCTTAGGTTAAATGCATTTCTTGGAGATCTTGAGTTATTTTTTGTGTTTCTCATGTTTGTTGCAGATGTGTCATAAGCATGGAGTAATGCATAGAGACCTAAAACCTGAGAACTTCTTGTTTGCAAACAAGAAAGAAACTGCATCTCTAAAGGCCATTGATTTTGGTCTCTCTGTTTTCTTTAAACCAGGTAATACTTTTTTATCTTGGATGCTTGGCCAAGAAGCAATATTTTAACCTAAAAGTGTTTATCTTTGCAGGTGAGAGGTTTAATGAAATTGTTGGGAGTCCATACTACATGGCTCCTGAGGTGTTAAAGCAGTGTTATGGACCAGAGATTGATATTTGGAGCGCAGGAGTAATCCTTTACATATTGCTATGTGGTGTTCCACCTTTTTGGGCAGGTTTAGATATGTCACACACCTTGTTTTGTATCATTTTTTATTTTTGTAGAATCGTAAAATGTTGATAGTCTTCTTTTCTATCTTGTTTGTTTCTAGAAACCGATCATGGAGTAGCCAAAGCGATTCTTCGGTCTGTGATTGATTTCAGAAGAGACCCCTGGCCTAAAGTCTCTGCCAATGCAAAGGATCTTATCAAGAAGATGCTTCATCCAGACCCAAAACGTCGTCTCACAGCTCAACAAGTCCTTGGTATCATCTTGCTTTCATAATGCAAATGTTTTTGGTATTCATATTGAACCAATGATAAGTAAAATTTTAAACATTGGTTAACAGAACATCCATGGATACAAGATGGTAAGAATGCTCCAAATGTTTCATTAGGTGAAACCGTAAGAGCAAGGCTTAAGCAATTCACAGTTATGAACAAGCTCAAGAAAAGGGCACTCAGAGTATGTACTTATAATCTCTTCCCTGGAAATTATTTTTTTGTATCTTTTGAAAGAGCTTAAGATAGTTATGTTGTGGTATTACTACTTTAGGTTATAGCTGAGCATTTATCGGAAGAAGAAGCATCAGGCATCAAAGAAAGGTTTCAAGTGATGGACACTAGCAATAGAGGAAAGATTACCATCGATGAGCTAAGAATCGGATTGCGTACACTAGGAATTATCGTTCCTCAAGATGACATTCAAATCTTGATGGACGCGGTAAGCTCATAACCAATAGTTACTTGACATACAAGCTACTAAGCAATGATAAAACTACAAGTAACGTTGTTTTATTACAGGGAGATGTTGATAAAGATGGATACTTAGACGTTAATGAGTTCGTAGCCATATCGATACACATCAGGAAGATGAGCAGTGACGAGCACTTAAAGCAAGCCTTTACGTTCTTTGACCAAGACAAGAGTGGTTACATCGAAATAGAGGAGTTACGAGAAGCCTTGGCGAATGAATTTGATAAAACTAGTGAAGAAGTTCTTGAAGCCATTATACTTGACGTTGATACCAATAAGGTTAGAACCATCTCTGAGGATAAAACATATTTTGTTGTGTAAAAAAAAACCCTAAGAAAAAGGGTTACTTGTGCAGGACGGAAGAATAAGTTATGAAGAGTTTGCAACGATGATGAGAACAGGAACGGATTGGAGAAAAGCTTCGAAGCAGTTCTCGAGGGATCGGTTTAAGAATCTTAGTTTCAAGCTGAAGCAAGATGGGTGCTTGCAGTTTAATAATGGCAATACAGTGTAGGGCTTGAAATCTGCAACACGGATACGTATTTGTTCTCAGTCTCAGAAGATTGAATTGAATCTGACTAAAGCAGGAAAATTATTTGCTCTTTCTTTTGGTTTTTGTTTCTGACTTTCTGACAACTTGTTAGTTTTTTTATGGGGATCATAATTTAAGCTTTACCTCATTGGAGATAACTAAAAAGTGTCTCGATATATATTAGTGAATATCTAAAAATATAAAACTTCACCTTCATAATTCTTAACTTAATATTCAGCAAGACTAAAAAAAAAAATTTGTTGAGATAATATGTTCTATGTTAATCTACTAAAAAAAGTAAAGGAAGGCTGTTGTGTACAACTTATCATTTAGTGTTTAATAATATATATATTGTTGTGAAATAAAGAAGAAGGTTGTAACTCTGTATATCTTATTCATCACGTGCACATACATATATATACATACAAGAGAATAAGCATATTCCTTAGGAGATAAGGATTACAACAATAAAGGGGATGATTATCCTAATCCTATAATGATTAGGATAACTACAACATATGGATAAACACAAGGGAGGATAGTGACTGATG